TACAATATCAAGCAGGCAGGTGATGAGAATAGAGAAGAATATCAATTATGGGATTATTAGCTGTTCCAATACCAAATTCTCTGAACTAAAATCATAGGAATTGTGTGGCAGATAGTAAGGAGAATTACTAATTAGATCTTGGGAGTGAAAGGGTTAAACCACTGGGTATAGAGAAAAAGTTTATCTCGCCTAAAATCACAGCACACTGAACTAGCTAGGTTTAAAAGCACTGAGGACCTCTCTGCTTTGAGTTTGGGGTACAAGGTACTAAATTAACACCTTGCACACGCATACATCTGTGCATTTTTGTTTTCTTTTTTTTTTTTTTGAAGACCTACCAAATCAACTCAGGAAATAAAACCTACCTCCCACACAGTAAAGACCCTGGCTCCTGCATAGATACCCATCCTAACCACAGCTCTGATGGCTGCATTCATCCCTTAAAAAATAATGTAAGGATAGTAATCTATTGTATGTATATCGTATAAGTCATACATCCATTAAAATTATTTTACACAAAGAACTAAGATATACTGAGTAATACACACACTTGATTGATTCCTACACATGATCTATTGGAAGACAGATGCATTGTGGTTTGATTTGTCCACAGTGACTTTGTACAAAAAAATAAATAAAAAAAAGAGGCAAGTTTTTTGTTTCAGAATATTACTCCTCAGAAGTTTGCTTTCATAATTCAAAATTTCATGCACTAGATCTCATTCTTCCTGCTCGTGTCTAGGCAAACCAAATATTTGGCACTCTTACTAATTTATGCAATTCAGTATGTTGTTTTGATCGGTGTCAAATTTAATTTGGTAGATTTCATGTACTTAATTGCAACTCATAAGTACTGTTTCGAGAAACGCAAATAAAATGGATTCCATTACAGGAAAATAAAGGTTTTAACAATAAATTTATTGAATAACTGACACCAGCTGCTCCGATGAAATCAAATTTTCCATCGGTTGTAAAAAAATATCGAACAGCTCAGCTTGAATTGATGTGACTGACCAAGCAATAACATAATTTGTACCGGCGGCACAGATCGTTTGCAAAATAAAAATGTACTCCTCAATGACAAACATTAAATCTACGAAAAATCACAACTAAAAATTATGAAAATCCTAAAAGAAAAGCTTTCCAGTAATTAAAACATCGCACAATCTGGAAGAATGTAAACACTCCCTAGCATACAAATTTTATGTAATATCAACAAAAGTAGATATTTTTCAGGTGGAGCAAAATTTATCGTCTGAGCTCGAAAATGAGACATCAAAGATATTCGTAGACAAAATTTAACTTTTTCATACCTTGTGCATCTCCACCGCTTGTTAAAACAGCTATACATTGACCGGCTCCTTCGACATTCAGCAAAGTTGGCAATCGAGTTCGTGCAAAAGCTTCCCTCTTGGCGGCCGGTTCATCTGTGTCAAAATCGAACGAAACATCTTCGGCTTTTCGCTTAAGAGGTTGTTTCCCGGTACCAGAAGGAGACATGAGTTGCTTTAGCCTCTTGGTTAGTTCGATGAGCAAGTACAAAATTACTTGAGACATTATTGTAGGTAATGTTTACAGACTTTACCCCAATTCACCCAAACACAGACCCCAATACATGCAGCACTGCACGGATCGATGCAGTGCTTTAATGCCTCTTCACGGTCCAAAGGCCCGCGATTTGTCGGCCTGCGGAAATTCTATTGTGGCGATTTTTGCCGGAGATTGGCCGATTCCCAGCGAAGTCTTACGGAAGTTGGACAGGTGTGTAATCAAATTTTAAATTCGCAAGAAGAATTCTCCTCAAAATAAAAAGAAATATTATTCCTTCATAAAGTAGTCGCCACGTTGGGTTCAAAAAAGGTACGCGTTTCAAATGGTTTTAAGGGCAATACGCGCTAACAAATAGAAATAGCGTAAATTTTAGGAGATCGGAATTCAACGTCAAAAGTGCCAAACGCTTCAACCCTATATTTTTGCAACATAAATAATACACATCAGATATAAATTTTGCACCAAATGAATAACTAAATAAGAATCAAAATACCTTGCTCTCGTTTTGTTTCCATTGTTGCCCGGCTGCGAGGCATTCTCCGATCCGATAACAAAGTTATTAGGACTATAAACAACTGATAGTACCTCAGGCTGTACAAATCGCCGCTTCTCGGTGATAGCGCTTCTCCAATGTCGAGAAAGTCGTTTTAATCAAACCACTAAATACAATGTTTTGAGGGGAAGGGAAAATTAACGTTTCTTCTGGGCCATCCAGGTCGAGCGACATTCATCGAAAATTACCATACATCTTTCGCGTAAAAAGTGCTGTATACACTTTATGTAAACGAAAGAAGGGTGGCTACGAAAAGGATGACAAAACAAACAAAAGATCCACTTTTACATTTAAAATAATTACCTCCAGATGGAAGTGAGTCATTAACATATTGGCCCCTTTAAATATCAACTTTCAATATCCATTTTTCAAACACAGTAAGCACGATCAAGACATAAAATCAAATGTTTAAAAAAACTGCATTTTCATGGGAACTGAAGAAAGATATGGTAAAAGTCAAAGGTTAAAAATGTCATCCGATATCATCTGTACTACGATTATATACATGACGTATTTTCCTTTTATTCAAAATGTTTGCAATGACACCTTGAATTGACAAACCATGGCGTCCCACTGTGAGACTAGTAATAACACAATTAATTTTGGATACAGAATTAGTTTTATACTGTTCAATAATTCATAGGTCTTTTTCCCCGCACACACTTGGCAGAAAATTGGGCTTGGACCAAGTGACAATACAATGACTTTCCAACCGGGGTGGACCGAAAATTATTTTGATCACATCGGGAGTAGATTTTAAGGGGCAAAACAGTCGACTTGTTTATGTCATTGTGAGTACTTAACCACGTGCAACCTAGTAGGAAGTAAGTTGAGGTCTTCCGGTCCTAAATACGTATTACCATGAGAATACTTAGGAGGGGGGAGAATGCAGTGGGGCAAGGGGCTTAGGCCAGGGGGGCCTTACCACCCTCTACTTTTTGTGGGGAAGACATTTATTTTATTTTGGTATGAGTTACATATAAAGAGTAAATGAGAAAGAAAAATGAAACGAAAAAAGTCCAGTTTCCCACGGATTATCCCATCCCCGACATCGCGATTTTTTTAAATTTTCTTTGGAAGAAGGGGAGAGATGGCCCTGACGTCCCCTAAAAACTAGCCCCATCCCCCTTCTCCAAATAAAAATAGGCTCCCTGTCTCTAGCTTATTAACCCTCTTCTTTATTAACGAAAACTGGTACGACATAAATCGGATTATTAGCAAGCGGATCTCTTTTTTACTATTTTGAGGCCCAACACAAACATATTCGGCAAGGACGGTCGAAAATCTACACTTACCAACTCAAAGAAAAGCGGTTATGTTGTTCGGTGTCTTACTAGCAAAGAAGAAACCGTTTTCAATTTTATTGTGATCAAATGGCGTTTTGCTTGTTGGTAAAGGCCTCGGAGTGAGGATTTTAGTCGTTGTATCAGATATCATAGTCCACATCGTCTGTCATAGCTGTTTTGATTAAAAAATTCAAGTACGAAATGAACTTTGAATGTTTTGTTTCACACTCATCCTCTGATTGGCTAAAATACAATGGGTGGCTCCTGAGACTGATACAAGATTTTCAGACAGTTTTAAATCTCAAAAAATTATTTTCGTTTGCACTCTTTTTGGATTGTTTTTGAAAATAATGCAACAGACTTTAATTTCAAGAAATTTATCTTTGCCCAAATTGTTAATCTGGGAACAGACCCTCACTTGTTAGCTCAATTGGTAGAGCGCTGCACCGGTATCGCAGGGGTCATGGGTTCAAATCCCGTACGGGCCTGAATTTTTTTCAGGTCCTATTTACAACTACTCGTTTCAGTAGTGTTCTTAGCTGCGAGGATCTCTTAATTTCATCTCTCCACCGCATTGCAAATATATGAATTTTCATATATCTAAAATCATCAGACCCTCACTATTTGGACTGCAGGGCGCTTGACTTTTCTTCTTTCAATATTACCCCTGAATGACGCATTGAGGTCATGAGAATGAAGAAAATGATCACCAAATTAATAAGCTCTTGATTGTTAAACAAATTCTCCTTGTCAGCACCCTTGGAAATGTATAGAGAACAGTATGGAGAATATGCATACTGATGTTATTGCGTAAAGAGGACGTATAATAATTATCAAGTATTTTTGAGTTTACATTATTTAAATTTATCCCGTAAAAATGTCACGGGAATCAAGACAGAACTAAGGTGCAACGAAATTTTTTCCAGGTTTAAAAGTCCACTTTGCTTCCCCCGCGTAAAAATATCTACTGTGATAAAATTACTTGCGTTAAAATCCAAGATTATTCTTGATCTGATTAAATAAGATTTGAAACTTGTTCAAATGGGGTATGGCGAGGCTCGGTTCGTGGCGCGCTTTTTCAAAAATTCGTGAAAGAAAGCCTCCACGTGTTAAACTTCGTTTTTGGATCAAGACTGTACTCGCACAGGGAAGAAAAAAGTACTAGACGATTTTATCTCCTAGACCTGAATGTCGATAAGTCATCTTGAAGCTCTAGATCTGACCTTCAGAGTGCTAAATCGAGCATAGCTGGGTTATCTTAAAGAAGCAGGTGGCGCGCACGAGCAGTGAGAACGCCTTCAATCAAATGTCCCGCTTTGCCAGGTGTTTGTCTTAATCTCCTTCCCAGCCCTCCCATTCCAAACAAACTTTTGTTTCGACAAGGAGACCACTCGTGCGTGTTTGGTCGTAGTTAAAGGTTGTCAGATCGTTTCGTTTGCATCCACTACATGACATCAACGTGATGATAGCCTAAAATTGCCTTGGAAGCACAGGCGCTATGCTCACAGTGAAAGATCTATAAATCAGTAGCTTATCACCAGTAATAGAATTGCAACAGAAACTCCAGAACGTATAAACTTTTTTTTTTGTTTGTAGATGTAATCTGTTACATCGCGTCAGAACTAGACATTTTGATAGAATAAGTAGCATTACCTCCAACTTAATCTATTTCTGACGGTTTAAAAAATTTTCTTGAACTGACGGAAGGGTCAAATGAAAAGCTTCCAGCGAGCTCGAGCTAGTACACTTGAATTTACGGATAGAACTTAACAGCTTTTTCTATCAAGAAAGTTTATCTCGAACCGCTACTTTGAACTATTCTACTGAGGACGTATATGTCATTTACAATGTTTCAAATCTCTTTGGTCGCGAAGAAGAACGTTTTTCTCGAGGTATATCGTCCTTTTTAAGATTGAAATCGACAATTGGTGGCTTACTTTCAACAACATTGTTCTCTTTTTTACCGTTTTCTCGGGTTTCATTATTGTCAAATGTTTCGTTCGATGTCTGGACTTTAAATCCTTTGTCTAAATTATCCTCATCTGCACAATCCTGCAGAGCGTGATTCGACTTTGAACAAATGTTTTTTCCATTTTCTCCGCAGTTTCGCAGTGTCGATCTTTGCCCATCTTTCCACTCAAGTGTCGTGTCGTCCGTGCACATAGAGTCCCTTTGATCGAAATCCTCCGAATCTCGCCGCTGTACAACTGGAATCTTCCACTTGACTGTTTCTCGTCCTCTTTTAGAAGACTCCCTTCGTACTATACTCCGTAATTTTTCGCTCGGTTCAAAATTCTCTCTTTCCTTCAGAGAGTAAACGCTATCTCGGGTTACAGGCAGATTGCGACCACTTATAGAGGCCTCCATCTCTCTGGCAATCACCTCGCTGATCCATTCCATATTCTCCTTACATTCTTGAGATAAAATTTGCAATTCCCGCATCTGAGTCTCGCTCAAGGCGGATCCGCGGGAATAACTGTCCCGTACATAGCTCCCGCGACGCTCACAGTCGTATGGAAACTCTAAGTCAATGTGAATTCCTTTTAGGCTCAAGTCCAACCGACTGTTCACGCATCGTTTTCGAAATCCGCTGTTCTCGTCTGCATATTCTAACTTTATGGAGTACACAGATTTATTTCTGCGCTTGCGACTACGGCGAAATAAAAGGAAGGCGCTGAAAAAAGCGCACAAGAGAACGCTTGGAATGATGGCAACTATGATAAGGAGCCTAATTTGACCGAAATTTGTTGATACTGCTGACGGAGATTCTGTGGAAATGTTCGCAGGCGCTGTGGCTACTGTATCCGTGGATGGTCTCGTACGAGTTGGGAGCACTGCGTCTGTTTTGGTTGCTTTATAGGTTTTCGAGCTTTCACCAGGAAAGGGAACCTGAGAAAAATAATCAAAACAAAGATTGATCACATCTATTCTCCATCATCAGAATTGACAGACACCTCTGTTGGCTGTTGGGTCAAATAAGTTCATCTATCTTTCAATTATAGTCGTGTAAGGGTACGAAAGTTAAGAAAAGCTGGTGTTCTGACGGTTTTCCTTTCTTTCCTTTCTTTAAAACCCTTAAAATGCCAAAGGAACAGCACAAGTCTAGTTCGACTCAAAAATCCCAAAACCTCTCTAGTTTCGTACGCGCGACAAAACATGTTACGTCATTAAAATTTAAATCATTTGAATTAACCAATGCGCGCTCGCCTGGAATTGAACAATTAAAATGAAACAAAGTCCGTAATTGCGCGCACCAAGGCATAAGAGCCAACTGGTTTCTTTTAAAGTTATCTATCAATTCCACAAATACAGATTGTTCAAAAGATAGAGGTGATCCGGTGACTCATCAATTCTCAGCCTAAATGTAAGGAATGAAATTTGAGTGATGACTTTTAAACTGATTTTGATCCAATGCTCTTGGCCAATTTGTCTTATAAGATAACAGTTTCGTAAACCATGGTGGCCGATGAGTTATAACAAATTATATGATAAGCTGAATTCTACACGTATTTTGATTGGCCCTTGCTTAACATTAATTGGTGGTCAGGCGCATTGATGACGTATATATAGATTACATATATTTAAGTCCACAAGGTAACCAGGTGGACAATCAGACATGATTTCATGCTACTCTGGTTTAAAGATTTATAATAAATGTAACCGAGAAGTTACAATTCATAGAATCACTGGGTCTATGAATTGTAACTTCTCGGTACCATTCATGAAATCTTTAAACCAGTGCAGCATCAAACCATGTCAAATAAATTATTTGTTGCCGTAGGTCTGTACAGTTATAGATAACAGAGGAGGTCAAATTGTGTGCGCCTCCTGTGCCTGTTTTTTGGTTTTACCACATTTTGACGTCGATTTATCTGTGATCTATTACTTAACAGGCGCACGCTATAAGTGCTTTTTACTATCACAAAACTTTGATTGTGATCTGGATTAACACTAATCGCTTTAAACGATGAGAGCTGCTAGATCTTGCCAAATTGATCGCCAAAGGATTAAGTATCTACAGAGCCTTTCCGGGTATTCATACGCTTTTCGAAGTTCTCTGATCGGCTTCTTTAGTAGGCCTAAGTCATGGTTGGAAAGCAGATATCGGCATTACAACATCTTGCATTAATCTTCCTAAGATTTGCCCAATAGTTCATCCAGTTTACATCTTACAAAAGAGTATGTATGGAGCGAAGTGACAGCGCTCACCTACAATACCGCTTTGTGGCTAATTCGATTGCCAGTCCGAGAGTCTATCTCTCGATCGAAAGCTTTGCGGGCTCGAAGTGATATTTCCAAATCTAATTCCAGGAAATACAAACATAAATCGAATGGTGCCCTATCACAAATGTAGCTATCTGATTGGTTACGCTACTCGTTGTCTATTCCGTAAAAGATAGAGTAGAATTAGCAGCCTAACAGTGAGCCGTTGTAAAAAAAACGAAATAGAAAAAAAAATGGGCCTGTCTTGTTGTCAAGATTTAGACGACTTAGCAGATTTATACTAAAACAATTAGATTATTCACTCTAGATCTCTATGCGTGATAGTTGATTTGGGCTTCGCCCTCATCAATTATCACGCGATAGAAATCTTAAGCTTACAATCTTATTGTTACAGTGGGCACTGATTAACGAAAAAAATTAATAACCTCTCTTGTTGTTTTATTTTTGACGTATAGTAGATTATTTTTTTCTTCGAGAGTGCCTGTGTTATTCACCGAATAACCTAACTTTTCCCTTAAAATTCAGTAGGCTTGAAATTTACCATCGTCATCTCCATCATCACTGCGCAGAAGCATTACATATCGATATTTTTATCCTAACAGTATGCAGGATGTTGTCACCATGGACTTAGACAAAGGGCCGAAGTTGCTACGAGAGCGTCCGAAGTAGTAATCGGAAGGTCGTAAGTTCGACTTCAATTTGGAGCACTCACGGTTCTTTTTCTCAGCGTATGCCTGTGTCATGCACCGCCGAATAACATCATCTTTTACTTATATGAGATTTATACCAAGAAAATCGGATTATTCGATCTCAAATTTCTGTGCGTGACAATTCATTCGTGCTTCGGCCTCATCAACTATCACGCGATAGGACTATAATTGTTAAGTAGTGCAGGTCTTCGCTCGTAAACCAGTTCATTCTGTTTCAAATCCCGATATTTCAACGATCTGAGTTTCTATAATGTCAATGCCTCGATCTTGCAAGTAAAACGGAGAAAAAATCACATTACACATGGGCCTTTCGAGAACGGGCCTTTGTTGTCACATGCTTATGTCCCTGCTCCAGAGGTTTTTACACTTTGATACCGGATTTTAAGGTTGATCCCACCCATAAAAATCAATACTCCAAAGTACAGATGCAGATCGACCCGGAATCAGTAGACGGAAACGCACTCATTTGATGTGTCAGTGCTAATAAATTTCATCTGCTATCTGTTTACTCAAAGTCTTGAGTGACTGACATGAAAAAGGCAAGGTTTGATCGTCCATTTTATCTACTCTGGTCCAGCCCCTCTTCCCAACCTGTTATTACTACCATTGCTAATTACAAAAACACAACCGGAGATACTTACAATTGTTCCAAAGGGTATTTCTCTCTCTAATAAGGTAGTTGACATCGGTGAAGGGGAGGTCTGCAACTTGCTTTTATCGATATATGTTTTCGCGATGGACTTGGGGAATGAGATGCTGTTCTGATCTTTGGATGAGGTCGAACGGTCCACTTCTGGTACTTGGGAGAAGCTCTTCATGTGAGAGTTTACAGGAAGAGGACTTTCTGTAGAGGGCGATGAAAGTTTTGAAGAAGAGGGAAGCATTTTACTCGCATCCCATGACACGCTCGCTGAAATTTGAGTCTGAATGGTAGTGGAGCTACTAGCGAGTTTGTGAACAGAACTTCTCCTAGAAGACGGTCGAGAGAGACCTTTTGTGCCAGGAAATAACGGAAATGATGTCGATGCAAATGGGCTCAAAGTGGAAGAAGAAAGAATCCCTTGTCCATTTTCGGAGGATATCGTCAGACCAACGATCCGAGGGGTGGAATGGCTCATACCAGCAAAAGGAGAACTTTTCCTCCGAGAAACTGAGGGGATATTCAAGCTCGAGAATGATGGAATAATTTTTCTTGTCAAAGGTAATTTGCTTAATGAGGAAGAGGAGGAGATTGTGTAATGTTCAGTTTCTTTGCTTATCGTAAGTGAGATCGGAAGGGTTGTAAGGCTTACATTTCCAAAACCGCGACCTCTTTGGACTGGGGAAGAAGGTGCTACTTGTCTCGTCGGCATAACAGCCTTCCAAGAGGAAGTAGAGGAGATACTTGCAGAGAGGCGTCCCTGGCTGCGAATAGGAGTGGTAGAGGAATCTTTTGTCTTTGATATCCTTGAGCTTGTCCTCGTGAAAGAAGGATTTGAAGTTTGCAGAACTGTATCACGTAGCTTTACAATGTGTTGCGAAGACGTGGAGCGTTTCTGATGTATGATCTTCGAACTACTGTTCAAAAATCTAATCTTGGTGCTTTGAAAATCGAGCATCTGAGAGGAGGAACGGATTTGGTGGACAGTTGTTGAGGTACTGCTGGACATATGACTCTTGGTGAAGCTAACAGTGGTTACTAAATTTCTTTTATAATGCAGCATCGAGCTGCTCTGGACTGTCGATGATAAAGGTGTAAAACGTTTTTCTGGCCTCAGACTTGAGGACTGGATATTCTGAGCAGTCCTTGAAGTGGACGTAGAAAGGGTAGTGGTAGTACCTGAGTAAGCAACAGAGGTAGGAGATGGACTTTTTCTTTGCCATACCACCGGACTGCTCTGTATTTTCGAGAATGAAGACGTCGAAAGGTCTGTGCCATGTTGAGAGGCTTTATTTTGGGAAGAGGAGGGAGCTACCTGGTTCCTGGATAAGGAGGCAAAGTCTCTTTCCTGCATAATTGTAGAGAAGTTCACACTCTCTTGGCTAATTCTCAAAATATGTGGTCGTTGCGACGGGCTGGCTTTGAAGAAATTCTCTCGAGGGGTCGAAGATAAAGTCAAATCTGCAGATTGAACACTGGACTGTGTCGCTCGCTTTTCCGTCATCGCCTGAGCTTTTGATGAGGAAATTGAAGGTGAGTCTAAGGAAGTGGTTGTCGTTTCGTGTGGAGCGGAAAGGAAAGTTTTATGAAAAGGAATCAAAGGAATGTCTCTTGCAGAGGAATGTGAAGTATTACTACGTATAACGCGCAAAGTTGAAGAAGAAACTCGGCTGGAAAACTCCTCTGTGTAACGGATCTTTAATAACAGGGATTCACTTTCATCAATTAGAGTAAACATATAGTTTGCATCGCTAGAGACAGAGTGTTTCAATGATGGAGTTTCCGAAAAAGCCGTCGCAGCACCTGATGTATGAGGAGTACGGTTTCTTTCTCTACTCCAAATAGAAGGTTTTACTATTGAAGTGAAAGTAAAATTCTCTTTTTCAGCTGGGGAATGCTCCCAAAAACTGGCCGTCATCTGAGGTGTGCTTGATGGCGAGGAACTTATCTGAGATAAATTATTTTCACTGGCGATTTTACTCGCTGTAGTAACCTTCGGCATTCCGTGAGAGGACGAGAGTGCTCTTACGGATGCAGTTATCATATTGGTGTCACATGTTCTCGTTGCGTGAGTCAACAAAGCACTGACTTTTACAGAAAATAAAGGGCTCGGAGCACTTTTAAGGATGTGTGATTGTGTGGTTTTGATATCCATTCTTAAGGAGCTTTGAAGAAGGGAAGATCTAATATTCTGCTTTGTTAACGAAAGCGATCCTTTTGTAAACAATCTGCTTCCGCCGACAGAGATGCCACTATTGTTATAATGTCCCAAAATAGAATTTTCGTTTGAAAAATGAGCTGTTTGATCGATGAGTTTTCTACTTTGTAAATCCGATAAACGCGAGGGGTTATCTCCATTAGAATAATCCCCTGTTTGAGAGGAATCCAAATATTTCTTCATTTCAGACGTAGAAGGGAAAAAATTAACTCGGGATGTGGTTGTAGCAATTTCCGGAATGGTGACGGCAGGCTTCAATGATACTGCTGACATATTTTCACCCACACTGGAAAATCCATTCAGGTTTTTAAACGAAGAAAATTTTTCCGCGCGATCCTTTGATGAAATGTTTTTAAGAACTGTACCGTATGTGGGTAAATTTGTCCTTGACGGAGCGGTAACAACTTTTGATAACGAAGACAAGATTGGTTGAATTGTTTCAGGAGACAAACGCCCGTTTGCTTCATTGTTGTGCGATGAGTAAATCCCTGATTGTTTCTTTGTTTTCGAGGGCAAGGTTGTTGTAGTCCATTTCGGTACAGTAAAGAAGGACGAAAACTCTTTTTCATCAGACTCCACTTTGACGAAGGTGCTGAGTAAGACACTCGAAGTACTCTTGCTTTGCGAAGAATATATAGGCCCAGTTGCGAAACTCGGTGGCACAGTAGTGAAGCAGAATAATAACGCTGAAAATTCAAAGAAGACACCATTTTAAGTGGTAATTATGCTTCAAGTTGATGGCGCTCGAAGACGAATCATTCACGCTCAACAACACAAATTCACCTACCTAGCATGACCCATAACTCCGACATTTCACAGCAACTGTCTGTTGACATAAATTCTTGAACAATGGCAGATAACGTGAGTAGAAATCTCCCCTCAAAATGATTCGTTCGCTCCAATTCCTCGATCACTTGGCATATGTGTTCACTACTTTCAACTTCACGGAGTGAAAGAAATAATCGCTTCTCTCCCACACCACTCAAAATTTGATCAACGAGACACAATATTTTTTTGTTGTATGACACAATGCGGTAGGAAGGCGGCATGAGATATTTGTAAACTGAGAAAAGCTAATGTGGTTAACTGTTGGATTGATTGACAAGCTTACATGGGACGGGCAGAAAAAAAATACCGAGCGATTTTTGCTAATTTTTCTCGAGACCACGCTATTGACATCTTTTTCATATAATTCGGATAGATTTAAAACCTTTTTGATTGTAACCTGACATGAAGGGTTAAATTAAGAAAATACTGTTTCACTGAAGAAATCACAGTTCTAATAACAAGGAATCTTTTGAGTTGTTTTAAACAGATTTCGCGTATTTTACGTAAACAATCAAACTAGTTTATAATGGCCCTAATCAGTGCAACCTTTTTCCGGAAACAAAAAAAGCGTTGTTTTCTTCAATTTGCTTGCATGATAGTGAAAAGTAAGATAATATCTCATTCTTCAACAGTTAAATTGATCTCCTCAAGAAGTTTTAGGAGTCACTGGTAGTCTTAATGGTTGTTTATCCTTTGAGTAATTTTACACGAGCAGTTTTGTCTTTATTCTGAAGTCGTTCGGCCGGAAAAATAAGCTGATTTAATCCAGTGAGCAATCTCTTTGTTCATCCTGCGAGCATTTTGTTGGTTACGAGCAGTCTTTTTCGTTTCTTGCACTGTTGTTGTCCTATTGCTCCAGACGTTTGGATCAGACGGGCACATAATGAGACTGATAAGGGACCAAACCCTTGATGCTCTCGACTAAGGGGGTCGTCGGCTTCTCTTATCTTGATCACAAAAAGCAAGGCCTAGGATTCTCGTCCGGGGTGGCCGCGCAATCTTGAGTAAAAGTCAGCCTTAGCTCAAATCAGCTTGTATTGTATTAGCAAGGTGTTCCTTTTCTTATCGCGCCAAAAGCCAAAAGGTCGCCTTTGCTAGAGCCCATTCTCCCATCCCTCGTTCTTTACGGGAGGATCGAAGACGGAATCCGAGAAATCGGCAGGAATCAAACCTAGCGAACCAGATCAGATATTTTGAAGAAACTTAAGGCGTGGTGTAAGAGAAGAAAAAGAAAAAACTAATTTTTACCTTGCCATGGTTTGTTATTTCTACGCTAGACGCATTGCGTGACACCACTCATCACGCATTGCATTCTCTTAAGAATTGCGTGACGAGACCGGAAAGGAAAACTGGTAAGAAAATCTCGGTAGGAGTCTCGGACGATCTAAGGCTTTTATTATCAGGAAGGAGGGACAACCCACATGGGGAAGGCTAGAAACCACAAGGTCGTGAGTTTTACCATATAGTGAGATGTGGAAAGAGAAGGAAAAGTAGACAGTTACCACAAACTTTTGTAGTATCAAGAACAAGAACAATGATGCAAGACACAACATTTCAGGCAAATATGGTTTCACTTAAATGCTCCATGTTAATTTCCATTGCCGTGTTTTATTTTCTTTTTCTTTTTTTGCGAAATCCTCATCCTTACTATGGCTTTTCCTCCGCGTCTGAATCTTCTCGGTCAATCCTGGAAGCATGGCAGAAAAGCGATCTCATATTTGCCACTCTAATGCCTCCGTTCCTACTGGCATATTTAGGTTTCTTTTGTTTCTTTCTTTTTCTACTAGCATTTTTTCTTTTTTTCTTTTTGTGTTTTATGTAGTGTGTGCGCGTGTGTGGTACCTGGCCCTTCGACATAATAATTTATTAATAACTTAAGTAAGGCTGCCCTATCTTTATATCTGCTCTCTGCAACTCTACACTTATGAAACTGCCACCTTTCAGATAGCAACACTTCAGCTTTGGTACTAACTCTTACCTAAGATCTGCACTAACTGTCTTCTTGGTTCGTTTCCAACCATTTGACAGTTAACTGCACGAAAACTTAAGTAAGGCTTCCCTATCTTTATAGCCCACAATGGTTATTATGGGCAGCCTGAACTTTCTCAAATCTTCATGCAACATGTATATATATATTTTTTTGTATCATGTAAATTAATGTAGGGTACAAATTAAGTTGTGTTGTTATCAAATAAAATTGTGTTGTTGTCGTTCCCTTAAACGCAAAGGTAAAGCTCCTCCTCACTCACCGCCACGCCAGCTCGCCTTGCTCTTCAAAAGGGAACAGAGAATCAACTGAATCAATAGACTGTTACAATTAACTTTCCCTCTCCGCATTTTGCTTTTTATTCTACTTCCCCACAGATAATGATTGAAGTATTGAGATTTAGTCAAAGAGCGATTCGAACAAACAAACTGATATCTCAATTGAAAAAAATGACTTGAATGAAAAAATACTGCAAATTTTCCGCAATATTGCGGCCTGTGTGCCCACCCCCCCTCCCACGTGCTCTGAGTAACAACTTTCTCGTGCTGTTTTGACAATTCCTGGCTTTCGACTGCTTCTAATTATAACTGTGCTTCCATGGCCACCAGGAGAATATATTACCACTTTTTGATGCTCGAGTTCATGATGATTTATGGAAAATTAATATTTATTTTTAATTTTGGTCAATTGCGAATTAGAAGTGCCAGAAAGTTCGAAAGCGTCGAAAGCGAAAAGGGTATTAAGTCGATCCAAGGTTATACCTCGACCCTGAGTGCCACATAAAAGTAGCGCAGTGCTCGCTGGGCGTCCAAATCGCTAACAAACCACAGACAGCCCAAGCTCCAGCTGTGAGGTGATAATCTTTCAAAATAACAGCAATGGCGAAAATATAAGAGTCTGTATGGGAATATTTACGACCGCTCTTAAGGATTAAAAATAAGTTCAAATTCTCAATAAATACCTCACCTTACTTTCACAGTTCATTGCCCGTTTTTGAGCGCTTACTTTGTTTCAACGAGCCATTTTAGCCAGTTATCCATTACTAGGTTTATTACTCCTAAGAGAAAGAGTTGGAAACCTAGAAATGGTTAACTCGCTAAAATGGCTTATTTTCAACCTAGTAAGCGCTCAGACAACAAGCGATGCACGGTGGAAGTAAGGTGAGGTATTTATTGAGGATTTGACAGTATTTTTACTTCCTAAGAGCGGTCGTAAATATTCTCATACAAACTCTTAAATTTTCGCCATGACTCCAGTTTCGCAAAACGATCATCTAACAGCCGCAGCTTGGGCTGCTTGAGAAAAAACCGGCAAGGAAAGCAGGCAAAAGCGAAGCATTCAAGATATCAATAGTTAGATTATTTTCACACAAAATTACAAATTCTTCGATTTAAAACAAAACTAAAGCGTATCTTTAACAATAAAAATACTTATATCGACTCGTAATTTTTAACTTAATGTAACACAACCACTCATGAGCAAAGTCACGTCCCAACTTTTGTTATAACGACCACAGGACGTCTCAGAGGTCACTTTTTTGTTTAGAGGTATTCTAAAACAATGAAATGGCGCCCACGATGGTGTTTCACGGAAACCATGTGGGATTTAAACCCTTTGTTATGTAAACACTTTCTTTTTGGCCCTCTAAATTTGCATATCCATTAAGCACTTGAGTGAACTGCACCCTTCAGTGGTTGCATAGGTGAGCGTGAAAGCCGTCAATGCCGTTTGAAATTGATTTTCCGCAAATGGTTCTGGATTCTTTCTTTAGCGGGATTCTGGATGTTAACGCCCAGTATTCCGGATTCCAGAAGCAAAAATTTCCTGCATGGATTCCGGAATCCTTATTACCTTGCATGGAGTGAAAAAAAAAAAAAAAAAAAAACGACTGCTGTATTTTAAAAATGACTCAAACCATAAAGGTTTTACTCTATCGATTGACACTAAAACTATGATTGATATTTAGCGCTATCACGGATCTGCCTCAAAACACCAGCGATTTATAATTTGCGCTTACAACAATGTTTGATGCAACAACACAAGCGGTCGAGGTTCAGCACTAACGATTAACCTTCCTAAAACGGAAACTAGATTGATTTACAATAACGATTTTTTGCTACCACTGACGCTTGAGTTTTATCACAAGCGATTGATAATTTCGGCACAAATGGCTCCCAACAAGCCAATTATTCTGACATGTGACCAAATCAAACGACGTTTCAGAGGAAGGGAGCTTGGGAACCAAGATTGTCAACGTGGTCACGAGTAGACAGACAGACAGACGTGTTAACTTTTTCCCGAACGGAAGCGAACATCGTGAGTACTTTTTTTAAGACTTTAAACCGTCTGTTAACGACTTTTTCAACGTTTTATGTTAGTTTAAAGGGTGTTGTTGTATTTGATGTCATATTCGCGTGGTTTTCCCGTTGGCTGTTCTGCAAAACAGCATTGATTACATATCAGAATAGGCTGCGAAATTCTGCATTTATTTTGGTTTAATTTGAAGCATGAATCGGAAATTTAAACCTCGATGCTGCCTTTTCAGAAGCTTCCGCAACTTGAGATAGTCGTTGGGTATTCTTAAAGAAATTATTTTTGTGATGATCAGGGATCAGAACCTTGAAAATTGCTGAATCACAGTTATTGCGTAAATCAGTAAGACCCGACATAGTTCGCTTGTGTGTGTCTATACAAAGTTTGGCTTACCTCGAGCTCGCTCTTTGAGAATATTTAAAAACTAGATCCGAAGGTTATTATCATTATTATTATTATTATTTTGTTTTTCACTGAAACGGCATTTATGAAATTTAACAATCTCAATCCTGATCATCTTTTGAAGCAGCAGGCTTTGTTTATCCTTCATTTACTTCGTAAATCGATACGCTTTCAGCTTTCTTGGCAAAGACACAAACATACAGAATCATATCCACCAGCGTAACAATAAAACTCTGTAAAATTTTTTTTGTTCTTTGTCAGTTTGTGCTGTGTTTTTACTTTAATTTTTTTTCTGTATAGTATGGCATGATGTGATAGACAAGCCTGAATTCTCTGAAAAGACACATTTGCAGCCTTCTAACCTTTGAACCCCCAATATCTGATTGTAAATTCTCCCCTCTAGCTGCTACACATTTCCTTGTAATTTAGTAAGGAGAATTTATTGTTAAATCTATTTAGGTAACAAATTCTACTTGATAAGTTTGAGTATTCTGACTCATTACCTTTTTGCTGGTTAATCTATGGATATTGTAAAGAGAAATGAGATACTGATCACTTCTTCACTTCTCCATACCCCTGCAGCTTCCAGTGTTATGTTCAGGGCTTGTATACCAAAGAAATAAAATTTAAAAAAATTGGGGGCACCTGCAAAATTTCCTTTTAAAATTTGTAATCTGCTCATTGCAGTCTGGCCAAATTAGTCCCCTGCAAAATGTTATAAACTGCTTGGTGCATTCTGGCTGAAGTCGCCACAAAGTGTTATAAAGCACATTGGAGCTTATTGGTATAATTACTTTATTTCTTATATATATTTTTTTATTTTTACAATTATTATCGAATATAAATATACTGTTTTCTACTGAATACAGTTATTTGGCATATGTCTGCCTAAAAACTGGGTGTCAGCTTATTATGGGGTCTGCTTAACTCCCAAGAGTGACCAAGACAGAATTTCTCCTTACCATATAAATACAGTATTAAGCAGATAAGTGGTGAGAATAAAGAAAAATATAAATTTGGGGATAGTGAGTTGACCCAATACTAAATTCTCTGGACTAATATTATAAGAATTTTATGATTGAGAGTAAGGAGAATTACAAATTTGATCAGGGAGTTAAAGGATTAATGTAAGCCTCACTTTAATTTGATCCGAACAGATTGTTACATGATGGTTCAAGCATGGTTTATGGATTCCTCTGATGAGGACCAGAGACTTCCACATCAACTGGATCCTCCACAGCCTGTCTCACTCGAGGATCTAAAGAACTGTGGAGTATTGTACTGGAAGGTATGAAATTTAGCGCAGGATTGCTGTGCGAGAGGTCGCAAGTTCAAGGCCTGGACTAGTTCAATATTTAGGGTCTTAAAATAACCCAGGAGAATGTGTTATGACATATGCACGGAAGATCAACTGCTGTTTTATCTTGTAGCTGGATGCTGATAATTTTGAGAAGGAAGGAAAACTGGCAGAGATTCGTGAAGAGAGAGGCTATTCGTACAGTGACTGCATTACATGCACTCCAGAGAGGCTACCTAACTATGAGCAAAAGGTAGGTGTCTTTTCAGGTGGATAAATATTTCCTTTGGCTAAATTTTCATCCAAGTAGAGCCATTTAGTTAGCTCTACAAGCAAGACCTGGTCGGGTCACTCTGTGGTGTTCTTGGTTAAACACTAAATATTCTCACAGTGCCACTCCACCCAGAAGTATAAATGGGTACTGGAAAATTGTCTGGGAAGTCTAATGAAATGTTGGGGGGTGGGGGGGGGGGTAAAATTGTCGTGCACTGGCATCCCATCAGGAGGGAAGTAATAAAAATTCCTTGTCAATCTATGCCAAGGAAACTGGGATTAGCTTCCCCTGGATGATCCACATGGCTCTGAACAAACTGTACCTTTTTTATATTACTTTAAGACAACTACAAAGCAATAACTTATTGCTTATTGCTTAAAGGCAATCATAGGAATTTGTATACTGACAAACTGTTGTTTATTACAAATTTTATGCAGATCAAGTCATTTTTTGAAGAGCATCTTCATACTGATGAGGAAATAAGGTTTATTATGGATGGCAGTGGCTACTTTGACATAAGGAATTATGATGACAAGTGGATTCGCATCTTTGTTGAAAAAGGTGATCTGATCATTCTTCCTGCTGGAATTTATCATCGTTTCACTTTGGATGACAAGGTAAGTTCAGCTTCTGGTTTGAGTGTACACAGTATACAAAAGAACATGCATATGGGAGAAAAAATAAGCTGGTGGCAGAAACCTGCCTGCTGTCAGACCATTTTGCACCAAGTACTTTGTGAATTTTGATGTAAGATAAAAGGTCAGTAATAGAAATAAGAGAGATGGTAAGTTTTGAGCTTGGTAAAGAAATAAAGAAAGATGTTTTTTTCAGAAAAAAAATTTTGAGTCCCCATGAGGAATTGAACCTCAGACCTTCAGAGTATGGAATCTGAAGATATATGTCTGAGCACTGCGGTGGAAAGATGAAATTAGAAGATCCTCAGCTAAGAACACTACTGAAACTAGTAGTTGTAAGTAGGAACTGAAAAAAAATTTTTTTTCATGACCTCTTACCAGTGCAGCACTCTACCAATTGTGACAAGATGAAAAAACTTCTTTCTCTAAGGTCAATAATATTGAACTTACTCTAACATCAACAATAACTCAAGTATGTCCCAGAATACTGAAAATCATTTCATAGAGAGTTTCAAACTTCACAAAGGTGCTTTACAACATGTAAGCATGATTCAGTTAAGCCACCTGGTCAGTCCAGACATTTTCCAATGACAACCCTGGGAAGTAGATTTAACTTGCTTCGCACCTCAATGGAGACTCCTTAACAGAGCAAGAGAGGTGTGCATTGGTAATTTAGTTCCAGTGTATAGAAGATGTGTTCTTTCCATCCAAAATAACCAAGGAGTCCATTGAGATTAGAGAGAATTCATGAAAGCTGAAGAGGGTGAATCCTCTGACCTCCAAGTGTGACAAGGATCTAATTTCTTCTTATAATGTACATTAATCCTTTAAACCCTAAGAGTGACAAGCATCTAATTTCTCCCTACAAGATCACTCCTGAATCACACATGAAGGTCATGAGAATAAAGGAAATGATCACCAGAGAAGGAACCTTTTGATTGGCAAACAAATTCTCCTTGTCAGCACCTCAGTAGATGTATAAAGAACTGTGTGGAGAATTTTCATACTGATGTTAGGGTGTAAAGGGTTAAAGACATGAGAATAAAGGAAATAATCACCAACTAAAAAAGCTGTGATGTGATTTGAAACAAATTCTCCTTGTCAGCATCTTAATAAATGTACAGAGAACAGTAGGGAGAATTTGCATACTGATGTTAGGGTGTAAAGGGTTTTAAAAAACATGCATCTCTTTTGTTCTTATTTTTTTTTTCTCTACAGAACTACATCAAAGCCATGCGGCTGTTTATTGGTGAGCCAGTTTGGACACCTCATAACAGGCCAGCAGATGATCTCCCAGCACGCTCTGAGTACCTGAAGAACATGCAGGCTGGAATATTTTCAAAAGCCTAAAAAAACAAACCTGTCAGCTTTTCAAGGGAATTTGAATTAGAAAATGGAGCTGGTATTAATGGAGGGACTTCTAGACCTTAGGATCATAACTGTGGAAAACACTTCATTTATTTAAGGGAAGAGATCATTTGCTATAGAAGTTCGCAATGAACACATGTTGGAAACACCTTTCACTTGTTTGTGATTCTTTGTGTTTTCCTATGAAGTTTAAGGTTGGTTATGCTGTGGCCTGTTGGTTAGTTTGTTCAGGTCATTATTTTGTGTTATGGGAAAAATTATTTTACTCTCTTGATGCCCTTGTGAAACTGTCTTGAGGCCAGTTGTTCAACATACATTTATTTTAATGTGGTTTTAAAAAAAATGGTAATTGTGATTTGAGAAACTCTCGTCAGGGTTCAAGGTGTATAAATTATTCTGATTGGGTTGCTTAAAACAGAGTACAAAAAAATTAGGAATTTTCTGCATACGAAACCTCCTTGATGCCATAGAGGTGTCTAAGGTCATCCTATACCAAGGCAGTTGCAAATAAATAGTGTCTCTGATTCCTTGTTCTCCTTCTGCGCAGGGGTTCTATACCTAGGAAAAATTAAAGGCTATGTGGAAGGAAAAACGCGTCTTTAATTTTTTTGTATTTTCCTGGATTCTGTAAAATTGAAGATTGAAAAAAAGGACACCGCTAGAAATATGCTAAAGTTTGGACCTCGTTCATCACAAACGAGGTGAAATTTTCCAAAATAGAAGTTTGCGGGATGAAATTCAGCTTTGTAGCAGATGAAATTTCCCTGTCATTGAAGTCCATGTAACTCGGTTCAATTGTTTATACGGGAAATTTTCCTGCGCATCGACAGGTTACTCGCTGATGGAACCTGCACAGCAGAACGCTAGGATAGTGCAAGCAACGCGCGCGAGAGATCAGAGGCATAAACTCCCTTCCCGCGTGTGTTTGTCCAAATCAGTAAAAGGGATAAGTTTCTTAAGAAATCGTGGTGCTACGTCGGTCGGACTTCTAACAACATGATTTGATTTTATCAACTGAGCTAATGACTTGAATTGACCACCGTCAGAGAGAGGAGTTTCCGCTCGAGAAATCAGCCTTCCAATCTCTATAGATGTTCAATTGACATAATCAACTCAGTTGTTAAAACCAAATTATTTCATCCGAGTCACTCGTGCGGTTAAAATGACACAAAGGATGTCGATAACTGAGTTGAGCCAGTACACAATATGAAACATCAGCGTGATATTTCCTAGCGGACGGTACTGGGGAGGAGAAATTTCGAAAACTGAACTTTGCACCGCACACGTTGACTCGCTTCACTTGCTTCGTTACAAGGTTGGTCGAGCTAGGAGGCGCAACGGATGAGTTGGCAACCACTTCGTTCAATTCTTTCTGATTCTCTGACAGCCTTAGCGTAATCTACAGCCTCAGGACGGTCGAATCGGTTTATTAGTCTAGGATTTGTTTGAATTGTCACATCACTACGGTTAACCCTTACCAAGAGGAAAAATCAGAGTAATAGTTTGAACAAAGGGGTAAGTTTCTAAGAAACTGTGGTGCTGCGTCGGTGGGAGAGTATAGCAGGTAATTTAGTGTTAACAACTGGGTTGAAAACGTAAATTAGCCACCGTAAAGGGTGAAAAAGCTGACGTTTCGAACGTTAGCCCTTCGTCAGAGCGATTGATTAATAGTTTGAACAGAGGACAAAAATCGTAACGCTCAGAGATTGGCCATTATTTATCCGGCCTAGGGGAAGGGTGGGGCGGAGGAATTTTAGGGGATCGCATAGTTTTCAGGGGGAGCGGAGCGGGTATCAGTCGTCGGTAACAAAGTTTAAAGGGGGAGGGGAAATATTGACCACCAATGGGGGGTGGGGGGAGGTCATGAGAGCACTAAAGAGCCTCATGGGGGATCAGTCGACGCTGACAAGGTATAAAGGGGAGATTATCATGTATCGATGACCATTGAGAGGGGGGGGGTAGTAGAACACTAAAGAGCCTCAGGGGAGATCGGGTAAATTTTATCGTTTCACAATTCCCTCCCCCCCCCTCCCCTAACTGATAAATTATTATTAGTCCCGAACCAGGCTCATTTTGGTGCCAGAGGTTTTCCTAGCAACCACTGATATCATTTATCATGATCCCTCAAAATAATTTGGATCAAAGTACAGTGGTGGGGTTTAATCTACAAACATGTTGTGAGAGCTTTTATCCTGCTCGTTCAACCTTCTCTCGGATAGGAATCCATGTTCAAAAACCAGAATGTTTTATCGCAAGCCTCCATCTTTAAATAATAAATAAATTCAACTCAGAGAAATTCGATCATTGGAATACTTCAGTTTGTTGCAGTTTGTTCTCTTGACAAGACATGCAAGTAAACAAGCTTGACTTTTTTGTTATTTAAATTCTTGCGTTGTATTAGAGGAAGCTGTGGTAGCGATTAAGACATTCTCAGTTGGCGCATGAAGTACTTTCCATTCGCAAGACTGGTTTTATTACTAAATACTTCAAAAGGAGAGTTTTTATTGTTTTAACAGTTTATACAACAGAGCTAAGTATGTCTTCCGGTATGTCATTCTTGTGCAATTAGCCTCCACACGATTTGGCAATTTTAAATTTCACTTCAAGGCTAAACACTTTGAAATGTAAAGGTTGTTGTCTGAAGATATTGACAAACGACTTTTTCTGTTCACAGACGAGAAAGATGCATTAAAATTATTCTTGATGTTGGTGCCACAAGAAAGTTATTCGAGGCTAACTTGAAAAGTAAACATTTTCAAACAATCCGAGTGTTCACTGAGCTAGTATATAAAGGAAAAACAAAGTTGTTAGAATTCTCGGGAACGAAAGAAAATAAGATGTAAAAGAAACTTTTCAAAACTTTGAAAAAAACTTTATGGAAAAATTCTGATTTATTTTATTTCTCTATAAGAAACACTTTACGTGACGATAATTTGAAATGACAAGCACGCCAAATAAATTCCTTGTTCGCCCTGAGTTTTGTAAATAATGTTGAACAAGTTGCCGGAAAAGCAAATTTTAATAGCAGATTTCGTTCTAGAAAGAGGAGTAAAGAAGTAGTGGAAGTCTAGCTTATAAAGACGTGTATTGTTTGAGTTTTATATAAATCAGGGTCATTATGACTAGATATCATGATGAATTTAGGCTTTTATAAAAATCCAAGATTTCTTTGGCTGAAGTAACAATATAAACAAAATGATTCAATATCTACAAAGCTAAAGAGTTAGATATGCAAATTTTTCAGCACTCCGGTGGTTTCAGAACCAAACAATAACCGCGGCCAGCAGAGAGTTAGCGCGCCGTTTGTTATAAATAATAGTTTCTTGAGGACTTTCCCACGTAATTGGCTAGGAGGGCGCATAAACCCTCAGTTAAGTCGCCCACAAATTCAATAGCAGACAATGTTGGACAATTAAATCGTTCAGAAAACAAGAAGTGTTCTAAACAATAGATTGGCCGCAAGGAATTATAATTTTATTCATAAACAATATTTACTGGCGCGTATGGACCGTTGCAAGAAATTTTAGAGTGCCGTGCTGCAAGGACTTAAGCGAACTGGTTTTACCCGTTCCTGGCTTTTTTATTGCTTGGATAAGCAGTCATCCTGAAGTTGTTGTATGATCACCGAGCACCGAATTAAAAGGTGGTGTTATTTTCGACGACTCATTGCAGGAAAGCAACATGGATTTCTCAGATTCGCCACCGTTCTGGCCTTCGCCGCTAGGTCCAAGAGTTCCAGATTTGGATACAAAACTTCGAAAAACTGGAAACCCAAACATGGATACCGCTTTAGCATGGCTGAGAGGAGAGCTAGTGAGTACCTTTTGCTTCTGTTAACAGATATCATTTCTCTAACAACTCGCACCTTTGTGACATCGGTAGAAAATATTCTTTTGTGGTACAAGATACTTGACCATGGCTGAATTTTGACAGCCGGAACCAAATGATTTTTAGATCGACCATGTACATTCGTTCGCAGAAAACCACGATCGATCATGTGTTCGAAAAAACACAACGATTCATGGTGAAAAAATTACTTCGCTGATCACTAGTCTGTATTCATTTTGCGCGTTATGTTATTGCAATTTATTTTCAAAGGTTTTTAATGAAGACTACACCGATGAATATCGAACTTTTTATCGCATTTTTTGGCTCAAGAGATTTCTCTTTCAGTGTTTCTATTTTAATTTAATTTAGAATATTCTCAGACTCAAAATTATCCATAGCCTGCAGGATACAAGGAAGACATGTACTTCGTTCTTTCATTAACATGTGATATTTGAGGTTTGTTTAGGTCTCTCTACAAGCAAATAATTTATGAAACGACTTAAATTCAGTACCAAATGATTTCCGCAGATTTTTCCCGTGTCTGCTGTAAAAAGATACTTTTAATCATACATATTTAAGAAGGCTGATCGCGCATTTAGGAGTTTAAAATTATTCGGTTACAATAACTACTGTTGTATCTTCAACTTGAATCACCAAGAGTGTGAGTAAAAACATGTGTATATAACATCATGTTTTATGCCATCCCGTTCGAGTGTTCGATTCATGTTCCTTCGCGCATGGCTGCTCTAAGTTTCGTGTTTCTGCGGTTCGTGAACTGACAAAGATCGCACATTCGAAATAACGCTTAGTGTAGAGCTAAGAACAGGAAAATGGTAGCCGCTCAATTTATATGAACAAACCTTCCATTTCGATCGCGAGTCAATTATCTTTCCAGAAACTTCAGGGGTATACATCGAATGTCGATAGCGTTTCGTTCGCACAAAGAAAGGAATTATTTAGTCAAAACTTTGTAAATAATAATAAACGAACCGTTCACTGCCGAGGAAAGTTAACGAAATTATGAACTGTAGTTAGCTGCAAAAAGATGTCTCGGTCATAACAGTCAAATTGACTCAGTACATTTACATTTATTTAACATCACGCATGGTTCTGAAGTTCCTAGTTCTACAACCAATTTCTTTTACGCTTTCTTCTCGGTCTAAATGTCCTTCGAATCAATATTACGGAAAGAACCTGCTTAAACAAATTCTTTTATGGACTGTGGAAAATATTGGCACGGTCAGACTATCATTTTTTTTTTTAATTTACATGTCTTCTTATATAGCGGTCTTAAATGTTACTTGTGACGTGCATTTCAAATACTTGCATTGCAGGAGCGATTTTGACCCTTAGGCAAGTCGTTAAGTTTACCAAATCAACCGGAAAATATCAAGAGCTAACGCAATTAAGTTTATTTTCAAACGCTTTATCAAGTTATCTTCAATACAACGAAAGAACAGCCACGTTGCTCACACTCCAAAGACATAACTGTTTTAGACTCATTTGCATTCAATTTTCTAGCGAAGATTTTTTGGGGTTTTCATCAAGGCAGGTGGCAAAATATGGTGGTTAGGAAACTTTTGAATTTTATAGATCTTCTCTCCAAAGTCATTCTCCAGAAGTGGGCACTTAAAGAAAATTTATGTACATAACTCAGAGTACAAAGTAATGCACGTTTTGCCTCTTGGGTTCAACACAATAAATTTAGGACCGGCGATTTTTAGTTCAAACAGTCAGTGATTTTAAACTGCCTTTACTTTAAATCTCTTTCTTTTCTTTTCTATCTTTTTACGAAGGAAATCAGTAAGAACTGATGAATCGACTTCCCCTTTAAGGGTCTACAGTTTTTTTCAGCGCATATCGAAAAGAAGGCGTTTGATAGATTCAAACCGCAGAAAACTAATTTTTGAGGGTAATATCGCTATTTATTGCCAAAAAAGCCTAATGATCATCTTTTAATGTTCTAAAGAATACAGGGATCAATATTTAAAAACTCTAAATTCTCGAAAAGTTATCTAAAAGTCATGAAATCTATGTCGTTATATTGGACACTCCACCCTCGTGAATGAATACAATTGTATGTTTCCTGCTGAAGAGGAAAAAATAAAACGCGGTATACTTTTAGATGTGGAGAGTATATTTAGCCCAATCACCTTAAACTTTATCAACAGAACTAGTATCATCAAATACCTTTCACTCTGAAGTATGTTAGTGCATAAACATCATTAAACACTCGAGCACGCAATAAATTACTTTTTTTAATTTGTTCATTACTGATTACATAAGTTTTTGTGTTGTTTTACAACCTTACTTAGGCTGTGGTAACCGAGTTGTAACCGATTTATTTTTTTCGTGCATGCTGCATAGTGCTTTGAAATTAGTTTTCCCGTTTTAGTTGGGACCATTATTATTATTTTTTCATTTTTAATTCAGGATATTAAAGCTTTTGTTTGTGAAGACAATCAATATCGTTTACGTGTATATTTCTTCATGTTATGCAACATGTCTGTAAATAACATTCGTAGAGATTCTTTGAGAAAAGTTTCGCGAAGCACTTCAAAATATTTGACTCGAAAATTGATAAAGGTGATGGGACAGAATGGTGCACAACTGAGGCAGGGATGGTACGAGGGATCAGACGCCTGTGAACAGAACAGAGACAAAATTTGACGATACATCGTAAAGCAGTTATATCAAAATTCTAAAAAAATTTAGGTAACTTTTTTTAAGCTACACGTATTTAAGGGTTAAAAAAAAATAATGAACTTTTTCCCACAGGTGAGAGAACGAGCGCAGTAGGTAAATAAACAGCGCGCCCAAACGCACACACTGTCCAGTTACACAGGAATGAAACGTCAACTGTCTTATTAGTGCTCAAATCCTGCGACTGATAACCAATCACGTTCGCGAATTTAGCTACAGTTCTGATTAAAAAATTAATCCAGAGGTCATAGCTTTAATCCTTATGGCAAAACGTACGTGCCTTGGAGGTTTATCGTGTGTTGACAAACTAAGGCTAAAATAACTTAAATGTGATCAAAAGGCTCCCATTAGCGCGTCTAATGTTGGATATTTGTTCGGAAACACTGTCTGTTGTGAGATGCAAATAATCTATCTTCCCATAGGGACGCTCGAGAAAAGCTGTGAGCCTCTATAGACAGATCAAATATAAAAGCGTATTTGCGAGCCTAAGGCTGGCTATTGTCTCTATCATCCTCCAATTTTTTTTGTGGTACACGAAACAAAACATTTACAAACAGCTTACTGTGGAAAACGGATGTTGATTTTTCGGAGAGACTTTATAAAACAAATATGTCTGCCTCACTCCCTGTAACAAAAGCTATATGTTTTGCTTTCTTAAATCAACTTCTATATACTATAATCGAAGTGGAAGCATGGTCCGAAATTCGAGAAATATCACAGACTGAATACTTATCAATTACCCCACGAGCGTGCGTTGGACATGGATGAGGCCGGCCCGTATCTTCTACAAGCGCGAGTGGAATAACTTTTTTTTATTAAAAACACCCTAAAATATAGATAAATCTTCCAACTTTATTTTTTAAGAACGATCAGCATGTTACAATGTACAAAGACTCTTCTAGTGTAGCTCGCCTTCATGCGCATGCATGATATAATGGCTAATAACCAATGATGCATGATGACTAAGCCAATAAAATATCTTGAATAACATTAACCAATGATCCAGTTTTTAATAACACTTGATACTCCCCGTAAATTTTGGATATATTGGACAAAGTGACACGTTTAAACCAATCGCAAAGAGGAAAATTTTTGATAGATCATAACATGGAAGAGATGATAGTGGAGAAGTGATTTCGAAAAACCGATATAAACCACAAATCCATCAAACGTGTCGGCGCAATATTCACATTTTAAGTTTTATTTTTTAAGCTGAAACCTCACCAAACTCGAAAGATTCTTTCAAAATCGCCAAATTCTATCTTTTGGTGTTCCTATCCTTTCTAAAAATGTGATATGACCCAACAGCACCGAAATGTGTCGAGTAAACATGTTGATGCATAAACTAGAATGAGCGAGATACATCTTCTTTGTCTCCAGCGATATTTGCAATCTAATTTCCTTTTGGCAATCCGCGTCAATCAAAGTGAGAAGAAGAATAAAAAGGCGCGAAACATTTAATTTAATAAAGCAGTTAGTGACGTCTTTATTGATCTCAAACAGACCGAAAAGTTTAAGCCTGTCATTACGCAATTTACTAATCCCGTGGGTGTCGGCTTAATACAGGTTTCACTATGAAGCGAGCTTATCCAGCTTCCGGTGTTAAGTCCATGTGAAATTTGACACCATTCAGTAGCTCAGTAAAAGAAAAGGTCCCATGTTTTTGCGTGTTAAGTTGAGTAGGGGCGAGGTGAGTAAGAGCACGACTCTTGGAATAAAGCTTACAGTTTTCCAATTGCTACTTATTTACTTGTAAAAAATCATTTCTCCGTATGATGATTGAAGTTTGAATTGCTTGTCACAAGTTATTTAGGATGGCTTTTTTATTGCTTTACTTCGCGACGTGATTGGTCTAGAAAACTCACGCCACCTTTCAAATGCAAAACTAAGACAAACCGCGATTACGCACTCACATTTTCCCGCGCATCAGGCACATTATCGGCTTTAAATTCGAGCTCTCATTGGCTAATAGTGATGTCAACCTTCACTCTGATTGGCTTTTGTAACTGCTTGAAAATTGCTGTGAATTCGGTAGTAAGCTTTCACAAGCCTTCTGTCGCCATTCAGGTCCTAACAACAGGAGTTTATATTTAGTTGACGGTATCAGAAAGGAGGGAAAAAAAAGAGCCATGGCACGCGTTGAATATAAACTTTATTGTGTATAAATATTGGCCGTTTAGATGAAAATGATAGTGGATGGCGCCTCGGTGACTTAAGAAAATAAACAAAATGATACAAGAAGACCGAATTGGAGTCATCAATATCCTTATCTAGAATTGCGGGAACACTGTCTTTGAGTCAGGATCGAATAAGGGCTTACGAGTATGTACAGTCACGTAAACAGCAGGTATACAGCAACACGTTAGTCCTTCGTCATTTGCTCTGACGGTGGCAATTATCTCTCCGTGGTTACATTTTCAACTCAGTCAATAAAACCCAATTATCCTGTAATATCCGCACAGACGCAGCACACAGTTTCTTTAGAAACTTACGTACTTTGTTCAGTGATTTAATGGAGTTGCGCATTTCGCTAAGTCATATTTAATCAAACTTTGCAGGCGGCCATGCAGTTGCAAGACAGAGACATGCACAAACAGCTCTTGACAATGCGTTCAAGCATCTCCAGTCTCCGAGAGGAGCTTAAAACCGAGCGGGAGGAATGGGAATTAGAGAACCAACAAGAAGATACACCCGAACCCGAACCCGAACCCGAACCCAAACCCACCCACGCTCGAGGCTACGTCACCAAAGTTGAAGTCGTAAACAACGATCGGGAAGAGCTCAGAATAAGTCACGTTAAACAAGATTCCGGGATCTTGAGCGATGAAGAACGAAGCGATGATGAGGAGTTAGAGGAGAGTGTACAAGAATTGTTAAAAACCTTTCCGCCACCTGTCAGACCTAGAAGCAGCTCTTTTTCTTTTTCTTCCAAGTATGCCGGTTACGGTGTGAAACGAGAAGAAAATGGCGGTGGTGAAACTGAGCGTGGACCCACGCGTGGGGTAGTCCGAGTCCGCGCGCGGAGTGTTGCGGGAATCGAAGTCGAACGACCATCAACCGACGTAGTGTCACCGCGAAATCGACCCCAGTTCTTTGCGGACGGAACTTTCAATCGCTTTGGAAGTATGCCAGTTATCAACGAGATTCCCGGAGACGCTCTACAACGGAACACAACCAGATCAAAAACTTTCGCTTTTTATGGATATCGTCGCCAACAGAGCGAAGTCGAGGACGACAACAGAGTGTCTTACCCTTCCTCAAAAAAACTACCTGTTGTATTTGGCTCACTCACGAGGCACGGTAGCATGCCCGTAATGCATAGCGGGGGACGACCGCGGTCGGGGACTGGGTCGAAAAACACAAACGATAATGTGAGACTTGTTGTCAGTAACCAGCCTATCAAAAGATCGACAAGTCAGATCGTCCTCAGCAGGCCAGCTTGGGATAAAGCCAGGGAATTTGAATCAAACCAAATGAGACCTTGTAGAGTTTATAGATCCACCAGTCAGGTCTCTCTCGTTTAATATTCTTTGCACGACAAGACTCCACTGAAGGGAGGAGCAAATTGCCGCCACAAAAGATTCAGTGACACTTGTTTCCAGAAACCAGCCTATAACATAAAAATGTTTTATAATATAAAGATCCATTAGAGTAGCTGAGAAACCAGGATTAAAGTAAATTTTCATTTCAGTTTCAAAAGTAATCTGTGATTGCTTTGTTTATGTACAACTTCGCTCTGTAATGAGGTTCTCAATGGGGTGATAGATTTCGGCCAATTTACGGCAAACGGTTGATATATATTTCCATCGTTCTCAAAGGAAATTTTTTACGGACATCTATTTTTACGATTACCGGTTAAAATTTGTCAATATTTACGCCTAACGGCTAAATTTTTTGGCCGTCCTCGGATAACGGTTAACCCCGTTATAAGACCCTCTGCGATTGGTCTAGAAAACATGTGCCACTCTCTCGAGAAATCAAATGCAAAACCAAAACCAATCCCGCGTTTTCCCGCGCTTTAGGCAGTTTGGTTTCTTTAACTCTGTCATTGGCTCTTAACGGTATTTTACTTTCTTCTGATTGGTCGTTTGTTTGTTTGTTTGTTTGTTTGTTTGTTTGTTTACGACAAGTCGCGATTGTTTTTAGTTTGCATCTGACTGGTTGAGATTACTTTCGACACCCGAAAATTACCCTGTCATCAAACAGAAGCTATTTCGTTTCTGAGTGTCCCAAAGGGATCGTATCGAATATGGTTGCAACCATAAAGCGTCATACAATCCAACATGGCAGCGTGCACACAAATAGGCCATTTCCGGTATGTTAACATTCAAACGGCTCAGGGGCTTGGGGGAATAAAACAAAGGAAATCATATCGAGGTTTATGGATGTATAATTAATTTATTTTGTTTTATTGCCTCGGAGCCATGTTAGCATTTAATTACATCGAAAATGGTCCATTGCAGTCTCAAAATGGGTGATATTTGTGTCGAATTTTTCTCGAACTAACTGATATATTTCCATTCATGCCCATGATGATCCTATTGAGTGATAATCAAAGGCTTTTTTTTTCTGTAGTGGAGGCTTTCTCTGACATAAATGACCCTAATAGCTTAATATCAGCTCTTCCTTGCTCAAATCTTTTCCTTCTTAGGATCCAAATATCAACTTTCCGCTCTGTCTTCCATAGATTTCTTTTGGGTTTAATTTGAATATTTTGGTTTCCAATAAACACCACACTTTTATATTTTTATGTAAGAGGTCTGAATGGGGCTAACCACCGGCGAAAAAGGGCAAAAAATATAATCGACAAAACGGAAGAAAAATATTGATCAGCGACGAGTAAATACCAACCAACATCAGTCCGACATGGTCCGACATTAAACCAATATTTGTATTCAGAAAGAAAATAATTCTAGCTTAGCTTAGGAGGTAGCCACTCTAACTTAAGATCAAGGTTTTATTTTATGGTAAACTGTTGAACATTGAATACAATGTGCGCGGAACATTTCGAAAGAAAACAAGCGAAGCAAAATGATGATAAGGGTGTCCGAGGTGAGTGAATAGCGGCATGGATTCCTAATTCAGCCGAATGGAAGTTTTTGTTGACGTAACGAAAGCAAAATGAGCATCAAAATGGTGAATACTGATCGTTTATCGCCAGGGACGCGGAGGGGAGGGGGGTGTATTGGTTATGTCGCAATGAAATTTACCTGATTCTTACTAAGGCCCCGTAGTATTCTAATGATCTCTCTCATTGGCAGTCAATTTTCTATATTCCCATCTTAATACTCATTTAACGACGATGGCTCTTCCCCCCCCCCCCCTCTTCTGAAAACGTACCCCCAAAATCCTCCACACAACGCAGGTTCCCCTCCCCTTTCGATATGTTAAAAAAAATTACCTGCCACTCAAAAGAAAATAACTCGTAACACGTTAAATATAACATCGATTTCTTGAGTGTGGTGCACTTTATTTCAGCAACGTACACCGAATTTTAAAAAAAGAATCGATTACATTCTTGTATTTGGCTAAATGTTTATGAACTTCCCGATCCTTCCTCGTCTGGGAGAGAAGCGTTGCAATCACAGTCCGGATCTGTCACACCCCAGTCACAAGCACAAAAGTAACAAGGACAATATTCAGTCGCTGGAAGAATAAAACACACACAAAAAGTTAGGTGTTAATTTATTGGAGCGTAATAAAACGGTTTGGCAACGTTTTGGTTTAAGGCATCAGGATAGACTCCTCTTTTTTTAAGAAGGTCACAATGGGGTGCTGGCTCCCCCCCCCCCCCCCCACCCCCCCCCCCCCCCCCCCTCCCCCCCCCCCCCCCCCCCCGCCAGCGCGACATTTCACTTGTTTTTTCTCTCGCTACTCGCTACTCGGTCCAAAATGAAGCGACAGCCTGATAAACGAAAACAAAGAAACCATTCTTCAATTGGGTGCGAATATAAGAATTTCCTGCTTGCGGCCGCATCTTTTTCTGGTTCGTTCTGTTTGCGTAATTACATATTAATTCACATGTTTAGAGACAAAACAATTTTTTTTCTTCCGTTCTCCTGCCATTGCAGACTCTCGCTCTTACGGACACTAAATCTCCCCCGAGGGTGTCTGGAATAACGGGAGTCGACTGCAGTCTAAATTTGAGGCCTGAAAAAGTTATCAAGTCTTTAGCGGGCTTAGATCTTTGCTAAGTAGCTGCTTGTTGGGCGTCAGTGCTTACTAAATCACGAACCCAGGTGTTGGCGGCGAGGCTGTTTTGAAAGGTCTCTTTGTGGTAAACAAATACACAAAATCAAAAGGGAAAACCCATTTAGAAATAATTAGCATATAAATTTTCTTCCAAGAATCTTGACAGTTCTAAGGCATTTCTTAAAAAAATTCGAGTTGAACTGATTTAAAGTAATTCAATAACGTCTCCTGTCCACTTTTTGGAAAAGTTTTCATTCACGGCACAGTCTCTGAGGTGAACAGTAAAAATCTAGATTTGCTCGATTAATTATTTTATTATTATTATTATTATTATTATTATTATTATTACAAGTTTTCTTTTATATTTTCGCCTTTTGCATTTTTCTTATCATCAACATTTTTATAATTAGGTGTTATTGTTTTAAAAAACAAAAGCCCCCATAGTTTTATTTGGTTTTTTGTTTTTTGTTTTTTTATTTAAGTCGATTCCCATGGGATCCAGAAGGTAGCTGAGATGTTAATTTTTCTGTTTGAGGACACAATTGAGTTGTTTAAGAGCTCTGTTAAACACCGCCCGCCTTTTTCTTCAAAGAAATCAAAGTGCCTATGACACGGATTTTTTATGGGTACTCATTTAACTTATAATAGGTACAAACCAATTCCGATGGAAAATAAAAGGAAAAAAATTGAAACTCGTTTTTTCCCGGGCGTTAAATTGCTCTAATGTTGTCTTAAAAGTGTCCCGCAGACTGGTAACGAGTTAGCGGGTAATGACATAAAAAACTGTGAAAACTCTCTCACATCTCTTGTAATTTTGAATTAGTCAGCGTTGAAATACTCTTGATATAATGTCCGATAGTGTTTTATACCTACCTTCATGCATAAATAGTAAAGAAGAAATATAAGTTGCGAGAACGGTTCAGCCTACTAAGGAGAGCTACGTGCATCGAACGAAGATTACGCCAAGACTGACAAACACTGTTTTCGCAAAATCGTACTTTCAGTGCGCTAAAAAATTGTCAAGGGGAGCTCGCTAAGCGCTAAGGTCGATTATTTCAAATCTTAAAAACAGCTATTAACCAGAAAATGCAAAAACAAAATTTCGTGTCATAAGCAATTTAAGGCGCTACTGATTTAGCATACAGAAGCCTTTTACTTTTGGCGCGCATCCTAACTACAAGATATTCAGTAACTTACCATCCTGCATCGGAATCATGGCTCTTTCGAAGAACCGAGCCAATGATGTTTTTCCTCCAGTCTTGAGAGAACGCTCTTTGGAGGAAAAACACAAAAAAAATTATGTAATACAAAATAATATCGAGAGAAAAGCGAGTCTTTTAAAAATCTTCAAATCGGAAGCTTGAGTGCGGATTAAATTTGAAAAACTTCAAGCTAGCACCAAAGAAATAAATCCGTGTGTTTTCGCGTGTTCAACAGAGATTCGAAATTTAGGTCCAGTTGTGAGCACTTGTCTAATTCAAGGTAATTCAACTTTTTATAATTTCCTTTGAAAAAAAAGGCGCGCAACTGCAAAAGCGGATTTGATGCAATAACAGTTCTATCTTCAAAACTAACCTGGAGAGTCTTGCACATGTCTGGCATTTGGAATTTTCCGGGCTGATAGAATGACCAGCAGAAATGCAGTAACCACGAAAGCTACCAAGAAAGTTGATTTCATCATTTTAAGATAATTCGCTTTTGGTGGGCTTGCTTCGATCACTTTCAGGCGGCGAAATGAAGTCGCTCAAGATATGCAGGGCTATATGTAAGCCGTAGATGTTCAATTACTTTTGTTTTGTTTTGTTTTTCTTTTGTGTCACTTTATCATTGTGTGTCACAATTGCATAGAATCTCTTGACCAATGATTCACTTTCGTCATATATGGCTCAGTAGTATTCTCATGAATCCCCACCCCCACCACCTTCTTTGGCAGTTGCAGTCGATTTTCTATAGTACCCCTTTATACTCTATTGATGACAACTGCCCTCTCCCCTCCCCTCCCCACCCTATGCGACAATGACTTGTATCTAAGAAAGTCAAATGACCCAATCAACAAAAATATATATTTTTTGGATCGCATTATTATAATTACAGTTGAGTACAGTAGGGTTTTAGATTGATTGTTCTTGTGGCTGGATATCCACAGTTGTCGAATATGATAAAAAAAAAAAAACCTTGAAAACAAGATTTTTGCGGCTTTTTCTTTTTCCCAGCCGTTTTTCGGACGGCGAACAGAACGTTCAATGGACCTCCAATCATTTTGAGCCAAGTGACCACAAAAAAGTTCCAGCTGTGGTTAAACAGGCAAGCGATATTACTTTAAGGATAAGTACATCCAGGAACTTTAACAGTAGACAGCGGGCGGGAATTGAGTGAGAGTTAGTATTAGTGTTTGCAAAAAAAAGTTCTTGTTTTGAAGCCTTCATGGCTTACAACTTTACACGTCCCAATGATTTATTACCTCACCATGAGTGAAAAAAAAGACAAAAGATTTTGCATGGCTACTGAGTTTCAACATGAAACGCAGTTACGTTGTTTTAATCATTCATTTTTTCCGGCTTTATGAACTATGTAGTTGCATCTGGTGGCCATCACCAAACGGATCCATGCAAGAGACAAAGACAAAGCCTAACTCCCAAAGGTTAGCTATTGTTTGCGTCATCGTTTCTTTAATCAAAGAAGAACTGTATGCGAAATAAACGAATACTAATCTGAAGATTCTCAGCTCACGTTTCATAAGGAACTTTCGGAAACTTTCCTCTTATAAAAGATCGTACAAAAATGGCAAGAAAAAAACACATCTGCGTCAGACGCGCTCTCAAGGGACATTTACAAAATATTTATTATGTATGCAACAATAACAGGTAATTTAGTGTTAACAACTAGGTTGAAAACGTAAATTAGCCACCGTAAAGGGTAAAAAAGCTTTACGGTGGCTAATTTACGTTTTCAACTCAGTTGTTAACACTAAATTACCTGCTATACTCTCCCACCGACGCAGCACCACAGTTTCTTTAGAAACTTACCCCTTTATACAACAATAAATTTGCTAAAAAGCGTTTAAGTTATGCAAAAACAGGTCACAATTTGGTTACATCAACTGGGTTGATAATGTGAATTAGCCACCGTGATAATTTACTGAAGATAATTTGGCTTTATCAACTGAGTCGCTTATGTAAATTGGCCACCGTAAAGAGTTTCAAAGCTGACGTTTCGATCGTTAGCCCTTCGTCAGAGCGAGTAAATGGTTAAGTCTGTTAAGTCTAATACCCCATTCACACCAGCAAAACATGTTTTGTTAAACTGGTTTTCATTGAATGAAAATTATAAACAGAGAACTGAAAAACTTGATTTTCCATTGGATTCAAGTACTAGCTAACTTGCATTTCCAATGTGCTACATTCAAGTCAAAAATATTCGGTTAAATAGTTTCTATGAAGAAAAAAAAAATTAAACTGTGTTTAACAAAACAACTTTTAAACATGTTTAAGCTTTGGTGTGAATGGAGCATAAGTTTAAATAGAGAGGTCTGGAACCGAGAACTCTGGTTTGGCTAAGTATGTCACCTAGCAATATTTTTGGACAAAACAGTCCGCTCCTTCAATGCTTTTATTTGTCATCCAAAGCACACTTTTTACCAGTACCAGGAACTCACAGCCGAGATTAATCCGCAAAGTACTGGACCCAAATATCCCATCATTCATCTGCTTTGTTGACTAGTCCGCCATATTGAACGGAGTGTCTTGTTATGCAACTTGTGATCCACGACTTAAAGAATTCTCTGTCGTTCACATTGTTAATTGAGATTTAAACTCTCATAGATCAACCAGAAGCCATCACCATGGCCAAGCCTTTAACAAGGTTACACACAAATGGATTGCAAGGTACGTTTTTAAAACAAGAAAAACTGTTATTGCGTGTGAAACACAACCGTCGATATGAGCTGAAGTGCTCTGAGACTACGACGGGATACCTTCGGCTTGGTTTAAACTTTGTACAGCTTTACATCGTGTAACGGAAGCTTTGGGCTCGTTATGGAATGTGATCTATACAACATCAACGAAACTGATTTTTTTATATCTGTTTCTAAATATTGAAGGAGGGCAGTTACACTCGTTATGTCGAGCTTTGGTTAGCACAAGGTTGTCTTCCACAGCGGCTACTCCATCACAGGTTTGTTTCTAAGAGTTTTAAATACAGTTTTTACTTGGTTAAGTGCTATAGCGCCTCTGAAATTTTGAGGGCCACTCTCGAAAGTGACTTAGCAGTTAAAATGGAAACATGATCAAAACATAATTCACTGTGTAGTTTGGGTGAGATGATTTAGTTTTCTCTTTGTACTGGCACGCTCTATGTTTGCAGAAAATTTATGCTACTGCCCCCCTTCATGATGCAAGTTCCTAAATATAATAGGGAGAATGATGTTATAATGATCTATAGTTTCTGAGCCCCGTTCATTGAGTGATCATTTTGGAGATTCTCATGACCTTCCTGTGCAATTCAGGGCTGATGCTATGAGTAGAAATTAGGTGCTAGTCGCTCTTAGGGATCAAAGAATAAGTGCAATGCCTCTATATACAGCACTTATTCAGGGGTGGTGTTTGTTGGTTTTTCTTGTTTTTAGTGGGTTTTGTAATAATGGATGGTGCTTGATTAACTTTGATGCATAATCAACCTGTCTTTTTTTTTTTTTCTCTGTGGACTCACTTAATTTGCTGTTATTTTTGATTTTCAGACCAAAACCTCCTTTGGAAACTTAAAGGTTAGTCTTTTCACATTTTTAATGTGATTCAAATCTTTCAGTTTGCAGGATATGATGTAGAAATGCAAAATTGTATCTAGAGCAAAAAGACACTATTAGTAATACAATATCAGATACATGAAGGTATCTCTTGCTAATGAAATGCACATATCGATTTGTTTGTTTGTTGACAGGACGAGGACCGTATCTTTACAAACTTGTACGGTCGCCATGATTGGAAGTTGTCAGGAGCACGTAAAAGGGTAGGTTATGTCCATACTCACGTTAAGGTACTGGAGTTGATTGAAGTTATCTCTGTTTCCATAGCATGAAGGTGGTAGGAGTTCTGAAAGGGGTAGCCAACAATTTTTCATTTAGTTTTGTAGTGTTACAGACATTTTTAGTTGTTTATACCTTTTCCTTCTGTTTGGTCATCTCCTAGGGCGAAACCTTTAAAATATAAGCCCTGAAATATACTCTATTTCTAGAGAAATCAAGAGCAAGTTTAACTTTTAATCCTAGATTAGCACCAACCACCTTTCAGACAACCAGGCTCAGGTTGAAAAAAATCTTGTAACAAAACAAAAGTCGAAATATTTTCCATTTTTGTGTGTTTTTGTTCATCTCAGGGTGACTGGTATAAGACAAAAGAAATCATACTGAAAGGGCAGGACTGGATCATCAAAGAAATCAGCAAATCTGGATTACGAGGACGTGGAGGGGCAGGTTGGTTTGTGATTTTTTTTTCTCTGGCAATGTGCTGAAGTCTGTGTAATGAAGAGGTTGTGTGTTGTTTGGTTTTCCAACAATTAAAAAATGAGATGTGGAATATTTCTCCACTCTTTCAGGTTTTCCAACTGGCATGAAGTGGGGGTTTATGAACAAACCAGGAGATGGAAGGTATAGCATATATATTCAGGGTATTCATCCTTCCAAGATCCAAAAGTCAACTCTCCCTTCCTGCTACTACTTATTTCCTTTTAAATTAGTAACAAGAATTTGGTGTTAGATCAAGACAACAACTTATACTTGATATGTTTGGGTATTCTCCTTACCTGCTTGCTGGATAATGTTTGGATATTGTGGGGAGAAGTTTGATGCGAATCACTTTTGGGAGTTAAAGGGTTAATTAATATAATAACAGAAAGTAGTCTTACCCTCTCTGAGAAGTACAGTATTACTTTTTAGCGAGTTCATTTGGTTTTAAGCACTGAGTTGATAATGTAAATTGGCCACTGTTCAAGGATTCTCTAAGGCTGACATTTCAACATTACTTAACACTTCATCAGAGATCAGAGCAAATGATGATTTGCAGGAAAGATCAGCTTTAGAAACCAAATTATCTTGTAAAACATACCTCCCCCCCCCTTCCCCCCCCTCCCCCCTTTGACACAGCACCACAATTTTTTTTAGAAACTTTCCTCTTTTATTTCACAAGCTCTCTGTTGGCCAATTGGTGAAGTGTTTTTCCTTATTTACCTTTTAGACCCAAGTACCTTGTTGTAAATGCTGATGAGGGAGAACCAGGGACATGTAAAGACAGAGAGATTATGAGGCATGATCCACACAAACTTATTGAAGGTTGTCTGGTGGCTGGTGCAGGCATGGGTGCTAGAGCTGGTAAGAAAAATTAGTGGCTCAAATGTAAAATTTGCTCACAACTTTGAATGAATTGTTACATTTGACCATCTGATTAAAATCAAGGAAAGCAATGGCCTTCGTAGGTCAGGTGCAATTTAAAGAATTGTAGAAAAGATGCCTCAGGCTTGGACAAGATTGGGATCATATTCCTCCATTGGATGGGAAGAACCATCTCAAATGTACCTCGCTCCTGATGTGCGGCTTTGTAGCTCAGTAGGTAATAGCACCCCAACTATTATCTGGAAGGTATGGGTTCAAATCCTGTTTAAGCCTGATTTTTTTGCAAGCTTTTTTTCTGCTATTGCTTGAATTGCAGCTTGTGAAGATCGTTGCTTGACTTGGTGAAATTCATTGGCACAAAAAAAATTAATCCTTTTCTTGGAATTAAAGGATTGTTCAAGTAGTAAATGCTGAAAATTTAAGGTTAACTCTTTACAACCTAATATCAGTATGCATATTCTCCATACTGCTCTCCATACATTTCCTTGATTGTTGACAAGGAGAATTTTTTTAACAATCAAGAGCTTCATAAGTTGGTTATGATTTCCTTTTGTCGTGTGACATTATGTTTAATTCAGGGGTGATATTTGCATCTGATTTGTGGAGAAGAGGGTCATAGGGTTGTAACCCTTATAATAATACAACTTGAAGTGTCAGATATTGGAAAAGTCTGTAATGTTTCCAGATTCAATTCTTTTTTCTTGGCTGATACAAGACTCAGCTAACTGTAGTTTTGTGCAGTCAATTTTTGGACATGAGCTTGATGGGAAGTTAAATGTGTTAAAACTAAGCTGCAAGGAAATTGTGGCTATCTTCACTATACATGTTAGAGACTGAATACTTGGTTCATACAAGCTTTCTGGTGAAGACTTTAGTAGGATTGCCACCATTGAAAGAATCTTTTGAGATACGTGGAAATGAGAAAGAATTGTTGTATTTCCCAATGTTTATGGATCAAAACTTTGTGATCCTTTCATAAAGAAAACTTGGAATAAAACAAGCAATTTTGTTATTTTTGAACTTCACAGCTTACATTTACATCAGAGGGGAATTCTACAATGAAGCATCCAACATGCAGTTGGCAATTAATGAAGCTTATAATGAGGGACTGATTGGAAAAAATGCTTGTGGCAGTGGATATGATTTTGATGTTTACATGCACAGAGGAGCAGGGGCATACATCTGTGGAGAGGAAACGGTAATGTTGATCTACTGCTCTTTTTTTGAGTGTGGAACTTATGGATGAGTTAAACCCACACATCAGAGTGCAAGTTCTCCAAACTGTTCCCTATAAATTTTTCTGTAGTGCTGACAAGGAGAATTTGGTTAGCAATCAAGACCTTCTTTAGTTTGTGATTGTTTCCTTTGTTCTCATTTCCTTAATGTTTGTTGTAGGGTTGATGTTATTAGGAGAATTTAGATTCTTGTCACTCTCGGGGGTTAAAGTAGTAGATACTTATGCACAGTGCAAGATGGTGTGACTGAATTTCACTGTAAAACGTATTGTGTTTTGAGCATATTCACTGTTCTCCCTTCTTGTTAGCACGACAGGTAAAATAAGTTTTCAGTGATAGATGAGCCCTTTTATTAGTTTAATTTTCAAGAATTCCAAGTGTTTTTAGGCGGTATGGACCTTGGAACTCTCAGTAGTGATTAACTTGTAAATTCTCCCTACAGTGTCCATACATTACTCAGCAAACAGGTAGTGAGAATATTCAAACTGATCAGTCATAACATGATTATTGTCTCGATTGAACACCAAATTCTTGTAACCAATTTATAAAGAAATGTGTAGCAGCTAGAGGGGAGAATTAACAATCAGATCTTAGGAGTTAAGAGATAATGTAGGTTGCAAATTTTACTGGTCACTTCCTGTAAAGAGAACAATGCTTGTTGGTTGCAAGAAAAGCAGGTTGAATTTCATTTTGTGTGTGTGAATACTGCACATGTTGTTGTTGGTCTGAAATGATTTGAACATTTCTGTAATCAGGCGCTGATTGAAAGTTTAGAAGGAAAACAAGGCAAACCCCGATTGAAGCCTCCTTTCCCTGCAGATGTTGGTAAGTCTTTGTAAACATCCTAGGTACACTTATGTTTCATTTCTACCCAGCACTTACAACAAGGAGGAAAAGAAAGGTTTCTCACTTAGGCCAAGCCACCCATATTTATATTCTGATCATTGGGGTGAATATTCACCAACTGAGACTGAGTTTGTTCCTGTAAATGTTTTTTTCCCTCACCGTTGCTGATTAGATGTGCCTTTTTTTTCCTTTTTAAGGAGTATTTGGCTGCCCAACGACTGTGGCGAATGTGGAAACTGTTGCTGTGGCACCGGTTGGTATTTGACATTTTATTCTTGGTGTACTCTTCCACTGCGGTAGCCGGTCGTTTTGCCGACGTCTCAGGTCGTACCCCTAACGTCTTATAAAGAGCTGGTAGTTTCGCCAACGTATTACAAAACGTGTAGAGATCTCATCTACAGATCTTGATCGACCGAAAAGTCGTAAGGGCGGTAAATCATTTCAATACAAACTGAAAGTCGGTTCGACACACGAAAGAGTCGATTTGATACAAATGAAGTCATTTCGATCTCAACAAGACCATTTTCGGACGACCTTATAGGTATGTTCACATTACAACATTTCATGTGTCGTTTTTTTTAAGATGCAAAACAAAAAAGAGACGTCAGTGAAATAAGTTAAAACGTTAGCATAACGACCTATAAGACTTTAGCGAACTGACCTGACACGTTGCGAAACGACTAAGGACGTTGGCGAACTTGTCGTCGGTGAAACGAACGCAATTCTTCATAGCTGTGGCTGCTTTAGCCGTTCAGGATCTAAGCCGCGGCTCCTTTAACTCTCTTACGACTGTCCTTTGCCGTGTCTTGAATGGCCATCTTGTTGCAAAGACAAACCGTTATCTTTTGTTTGAATTTTTTTAGGCCATTTGCAGGAGAGGAGGTGACTGGTTTTCTTCATTTGGTCGACCAAGAAACACTGGAACCAAGGCAAGTATCACAAAGACTTACATGTACATTACTGCTAACGTGTATTGCAGTATTACACGCACTTGAAGCTCGTGCAATTCCCGCGCGTTACACGCGAAAAACACACATACGGAGCGTCACTGCACGCGAATGCAATAAAAAATGCACCCGAGTGAGGGACACTTAGTGCAATTTTTGCTCAGCGTGCTCGATCGGTGACCACAGTGCTTCTTCTTGATATGAGCGATATGACTTGCCGTCAAAAGTAGAGCATGCCCAAAGGGATCGATTTGGCCGGGCGCGAGCCCAGAAAAATTTTAAAAGAAAATAGACAGAGAGTGACGAAACACTTCATTATCAATGTAATTTTGGTTTAAAACGTGACATTCTTTGCTGCACGTATCGCTAAGAGTTACTTAGCTAGAATTAGTTAAAGTATCTTTTTGATATATTTATAACTGTTCTTTCTTTCCAGTTATTCAACATATCTGGCCAGGTAAATAATCCATGTACTGTTGAAGAGGAGATGTCTGTTCCCTTAAAGCTGCTCATTGAAAAGCACGCCGGAGGAGTACTTGGTATGTTGTTTGAGAAAAAAAATTCTTATTTAACGGCGTGTCATAGAGCTTCAAGCTCAATCTTTTCAACTTCATCAATTCGCGACATGCAACCTCCACTCAACATAATAGAAAGAAATCTTTTAATTTACCTCTGATAAGTTGAGTACACTAGGTGATAGGTCTTTTTTTACGGCTGCTCTCATATGATGGATCAATCCTTTTCGTTTCTATGAGAAACTTGAAATAGGTTTGCTCCTTCACGACGGTTGCAGCTAAGAGCACTGAATCAACTCTCTTGTTTAAAAACAAAATACTTGATATTTTTTTTTCTATTTATTTCAATTATGCTATTAAATATCAATCCTGCCTTGTCCTTGTTTAGGTGGCTGGGACAACCTGTTAGCTGTTATACCCGGCGGCTCATCAACTCCGCTTATTCCGAAAAGGTGAGTTGTTGAAATTTTTCAAGAGCAATTTATAACCCGAGTGTCGAAAGTACTGCATAATAGGCCATTTTCGATATATTAAAATTCTAACATGGCTCAGAGGCTATGGGGAATTAAAGAAAAGAAGTAAACTACTCATCCCTCAACCTCAATGTGATTTCCTTTGTTTTATTCCCCCAAGCCTCGGAGACAAGTTAGATTTTTATTGTATCGAAAAGGGCTCATTGGCGTTGGTGTTGCGTAAATTCACCTCGTGATTGGGCAGAAAATCGCGCCACCTTCCCAACCAATCAGATTCAAAACTGAAGCCAATCGTGATTTGGCCACTCGCGTTTTCCCGCGTTTCATGTTGGTTGCTTCTTTTTACCTTGAGTTCTCATTGGCTAATGATAACGTCGACCTTTTCTCCGATTGGCTGTTGTGATTCCTTTGGTATGGGGTTTTCGAAACTCGACCAGCGACGCTCGATACTTATGGCAATTTCTCTCCAGGCATACCTGTACAAGTTAAATTTTACTGGTGGTAGCTGGCTTACCAGGGACTAGAAAATTTCTTCTCTTGTTTCTTGTAGTGTGTGTGAAGATGTACTGATGGACTTTGATGCCTTAGTTGAGGCACAGACTGGTTTGGGAACGGCTGCCATTATCGTGATGAACAAGCAGGTAAGTGAAATTGATAGAACTGAAGACTTTATTTCCTAAAGCCTGGTTTTCATGTGTCAGGAAAACACTAGACCATCGGCGATTTCCCCATTCCCGACCGTCCCACAGTTTTCCGATGTATCGGGAGGTCGACAGGCGTCTGTCTCGCTAGCTTAAAAACGGCTTTTTATTCGTAACTCGGGGGTTACCGGAGCCAAGCTATTAAGGGATTGGTGGCCAGAAAAATTATAGCTGACTTCCCTATGGCTTGATATGCAAAGTAATTGGTCTTAAATCGAAAGAAACGTTTGATAAACGTTATTTGCAAAACTCTTATAGTTGAGGTTAAAATTTCCAAAGAGAAGTATTTTTTGAAAGAAAAGGTTTAACTTTTACTTACATATAAATTGCGAGGGGAATTCACAGAGGGATTTAAAGAGGTATTCATGGTCAGCGCGAATGCACCATTCTCGGAACCGTATAAAATTCTTTTTTTTTTTTCTTCTCGTTAACGTTCATTTGTTTTCATGCTAAAAAAAATTCATGTACAGTAATATTCCTCCTTTTTGTCTTTTTTTTTCTTTCAGTGTGATCTCATCCTTGCCATTGCTCGACTGATTGAGTTTTACAAGCACGAGAGCTGTGGCCAGGTAAGTCTGTTATGTGTGTTCCGTTAACTGCTAACGTCCTAAAAAGAATTACAGGCACTTTGATATTGTGTACAGTGACCTCCTTGCAACACTTCAAGTTGGAAACGTATATGAATATGCTCGCTTGAATTAATTATTTCGTCAGGTTTCAAACTTAATCCTTCAACCCTAAAAGTGCTTTGCATCTAAATTCTCCTTACAATCACACCCTTAAATCACACACTAAGGTCAGGAGAATAAAGGAAATGATAATCAACTGAAGAACCTCTTGATTGTTAAACAAATTCTCCTTGTCAGCACCTAAGGAAATGTATAGAGAACAGTATGGAGAATATGCATACTGATGTTAGGGTGTAAAGGGTTAAGATCAGTGATTGTACCATTTTTATTTCCTGTTCCTCAGTGCACACCCTGCAGAGAAGGCTGTAGTTGGATGACTACCATCATGTACAGATTTGGTAAATTGTCATTTCATTGCTAGATCTTTTTTCAGCTAGAATAATCCATTATCTTCCCCCGTTTGGTCTTTAGGTTCGAATTACCCCGCACTCTCGGTCAGGCTTGGTCTGCGTTCGAGAAGCGTGAGCTCATTCCCAAAAAGGGGCTCATTAACCATCTTATGTCGCTCCTTAAATGATTACTTGTTGATTTTGTAAACCTCGTGTTGTAAAAATCTCTTTCTTTCTTCACTTTGTTTAATTTTCGGTGTTTCTTTTTAAGTAGAGTGCAGTTTTGACACCGCAATTCCTGATCGTCTTATCTCGCTTTGAAAGAATACACGTTGTTCAGTTTCAGTAGTTGTAGTTATGTTTCTATAGTGGCGGAACATCTCTAGGTATTATTTCCTTTCTGTTTTTTTTCCTGGTAGAAATATTTTTTTCGTTCGTTCTTAATTTTTCTTTTCGTTTTTTCTTTTTTTTTTTAAGTTGAGGGGAAAGCAACACCAGATGAGATTGATATGTTGTGGGTAAGAGATTTATTAAGTAAAGAGGAATTGTTTTAAATAGGGCAATTGCTTCGTTTATTAGTGCAACAAACTTTCTTAAATTTGAAATCTCGACGGATCGATGGCCTCAAATGTTCTCAGATTTACCTTTAAATGAATTTTCGTGCAGCCTAAAATTATTACGCATCGCACCGAACCCCATTTTCTTGTCGTAATTAAATCCTATTTCCTTGCTTCTCAAAAATCTTGCGCCTCCCACTGAGTGTAGTAATTCACCCACAAGTGCCGGATCAACATATAAGTTCTCCCTATAATATCCTTATACATTATCCAGCAAACAGGGTTTGAGAACACTGAAACCTATCTGGTAGAATTTGTTATCTTGATCCGCAACGCAAACCTCTCATTACTAACTTAGATGGAAATCTGTAGTTGGTAGAGGGGAGAATTAGCAATCAGATCTTGGGAGTCAAAGGTTAAAGATGTTACCTTTCTCTCTCTCATTTCGTCTCTTCTGTTACCTCATCACTGTCATAATGTGTTACCCTTAATAGGAGCTGAGTAAACAGATTGAAGGACATACAATCTGTGCATTGGGTGACGGTGCTGCCTGGCCAGTGCAGGTAAGGAGGTTTTGGCGGGAAAGTCTCCTCCTCAAGGCTTTAATTTCGCGCGCTTTCAGTATCAAATCGACCGCGCGGGAAAACCTGTGATGCGTGCGTCATTTAGACAGAGGGATCATGTTTGTGAAAGGTGCTCGCTCGTGCAGATTTTTGGTTAGTGGTTTTTTGGACTCTGGAATGAAGCTGTGAACTGTGAAAGCATTACTTCAGATGTTTAGAATCCTCTTTAGTTCCTAACTTTCCTTTAGCCGCGCAAAACTACTTACAAATGGTAGAAGATTGCACTCAGGGGACACTCAGTAGATATACGTTGCGGGACGAACGTGACAGGTGGAGCTCAACTTGTGTGAAACAGCCGAAGAAACTGCTCTTGTTTTTTTTTATCTTTTTAGGGATTGATTCGTCACTTTAGGCCGATGCTGGAAGAGAGAATGGCAGAATACGCCGCCAAACAAGAGAAAGGCTCTACAGCAGCTTGAAAATACAGACTAAAGACTTGTGTACAGATTATCAAATCGGCGAGTTTCGTAGACTCTTAAATTGACCTTGAGAAAAACCCAACAATTTGACTGCTTTTTTTTTTACTTTTTGAATACTTGTTCATTAAAAGTGTGAGATAGTACATCAAAACTGTAAATGTTTATTGGGTCATAAGGGCCATCCTTTTTATTTCGATGAAAAGCGCAAGATTACTTGTTAATGAGATGAACACTCCTTTTTTTGTGTCGAATTTCTGCTGGTTTTGTCCAGATTGGTATACAATCCACTCCCAATTTTAAATGACTGGTAAATAAAAGGACGTAATAAAACGAAAGTTTGAAAGATGAGTTGATCTTGTTATAGCATGCTAGCCTACTCTCATTATTAGCGCAGCAAGACGAGCGTTTCTCTGTTCATAGGAAGATTTGAGACGGGTTGAGAAGACGACTGCTCTACCGTGGCTGATATGGGCCAACAAAATTACATCTACTTTTCTCGCGTGGATAATAAGGGAATAACATGACTTTTTGAGGGAATATTGTTTATTTGCGCCCGCGTAGTGTCATCATGTCATTATCATTATTATCAATAAACAAGGCCAAATGATATCAAGAATGCGAGTTTTAATAATACAAGCTAAGTGAATGACGAATTCAAAGTCACTTCAAATCATCATGTAAGTGTTGATTGAACAAGCTATTAAGGAATCAACTCAGTCCAGTGAACTTATTGAAAATTACCGAAAAAATGCTTAAAATCGTCTATAAATAATAGGCATATCGCAAAGTTAACCTTAAAAATGTCCATGCTGGATGATGAAGCAAGAACCAATCAGCTGTAGGGCAGCTAGGTAAGAGACCGATTTTCTATTTGGCCGTGTATATACGCGGCCAAATAGAAAATCGGCCTCTTTAAAACACGCTCAGCGGGCCGCAAAAGACTGACAGCGGGCTGCTAATGCATTATCAGCCCTACAGCTGATTGGTTCTTGCTTCATCATCCGATGGATTTTAACCAATTAGAGTAAGCCTAGTGTTGATATCATTTGGCCTTGTTTCTTGATAATAATGATAATGACATGACTTTTTGAGGGAATATTGTTTATTTGCGCCCGCGTAGTGTCATTTGCGCATTCATTCGCAAATGACATTACGCGGGCGCAAATAAACAATATTCCCTCAAAAAGTCATGTTATTCCCTTAAAAAGTCATGTTATTCCCTTATTGTCGATGTATACTTGTAACAGGCGAAGAGCATTTACAACGGCCGATGTAGAGGTACTTTTGTTGGCCCTCATGAGCAGGGGTACTGCCGGGAGTCTGTACCCATTGCAAACCTCGCGCGACTTGGCGTCACTCAAAGCCTCAAATATGCTATAATAATAATAATGGGGGGGCCCCTTGCTACTCCTGGAGAGGTTGACACCACCCAGGAGTAGCGAAGTGTCGTAGCAATCTGTCAGGAATACCTGCAAATAGTGTGGTGATATTCAACAAAGAGCTTTCCAGTCCTTTCGATCAGCGGCTAAGACGCTTTACCGTCGCGAAACGAAGGATTTGCATTCTCACCGGATAGACCGATACACAAAACAGAAAATTGTGTCGAAACACCACACCCTATTAAGATTGGAGTAATAATGATTGATTGTCCAAGAAATTTGAAAGTTTTCACGGAATTTGGTTATCTCTTTCGATGTTTTCGTTGAAAGTCGGAACCGAAGTGGATGAAAGCGATTTTCATATCTGCTTCTTCCGAGACCTAATGCTTTTTTATCCGAAGACGTCTGTCTCTAGAGAGATTTTCAATATAACTTATGTTTCTGAAAGGAAAAGGTTGTCGTTCATACGTTAATATACATAGGGAAGAATTCACACATTTCAAGACGCGAAAATGTATTTAAAAAGAGCTAATTTGACTTCTTTTTCTCCAATTTGCCTTTGCAAACCCTCATTTTTTTATGTACAATGTAAATAAGAGCGAATACTATTTACAAATCTTAAATATTAATACTTTCCACAGGTTCTTCATATGGTCCCAATTTCAATCCTCATTATTTTTGTCCTGCGAGAGCTGATCTCCTTCGTCCGTCTGTAAGTTAGCGCACAAGTCTGCCCTATATGAGTTATCAGCTGCATGGAGCTCTTGATCACTTGAATTTATCTTGATACAGATTGTAAATAAAAAGTATAGTCTTCCACACATTAAAATCTTCAGGAACCGTAGAACGCAAATCACCAAGTACAACCCAGAATGTTCTACGTCTAACATGACCAGACAGTGATATGGCACAAAAGAGAACACCCTCAACGGATACAAAACCAGTCGAAGTAGAGTAGATACAGTTACATCTCCAATGAGCAAAGAAAAATTCAGTGTTAAAATTGAATGGTTAACGCGTCTCGATGTTCGTGCAAAGCCGTCGATTATGTAAACCAAGTCGCACAGGCATACTAACCAAGCTAGTAGCAAACTTGTGTTATACGTGTTCATTCGTGCAACGCACCAGCCAGTTAGAATAGCATTGGTGACGTAGAAGTCCCATAAGCCGGATATGATTGAAGCAAACGCGGTCATAGTGATAAAAGCGAAGAGAATTCTGTTGCTTTCTTTTTTAGCAGCCTTCCGCATCAAAGAGCTGTTTACTTGCGAAAATAGCGCGCGCATTTTTGCATTGATGATGTATTCAGGAATTTTTTCGTGATTTGGTTGCGCTCACAGGCGCGTGCAGTCGAGAACATTGCTCAAAACATCTGTTATTTGTTGAAGTCACGCGAGAAACTTTTTAGCTGATGACTCGGAAAACTGGACTCTGAACATTGCACTGTCGGTTGTGCGTGACAGCCAAAGTCGGGCACCATCCATTCTAGGCTCCATTGCAGCTGTTCTTTATATGGTCACGCAACGCCCCCGAAGCGTTGTGTGAAGGGAAGAAACACGGCAGCGGAGGAGTGAAAAAAAGAGAGAGGTCTGGGTCGGATCGCGTTGTGTAGTTTGCCGAATTCTTGTAACTCGCCAACATCTTGTACGAGGAACTAATTTTCCTTATTCACGCTCTGCCCTTCATCGCTTGAATATCACTTCTGTCCTTTCTTTTAAAAGAAACAGGAAGTAAGTTTACAAGGGATCCGCCGTATTCGTCGGTAAATGTTGTTAATGGAACTTACAATAACAACATTTACCGATGAGTTGAACTCGAGAAAGTTTGCGATCACAATTATTGTTTCGTCTATTAACTGATAGGAAATATTTTCTTCTGTATTTACGTCTAGTGAGAACGTAGAAAGCTTCAGTTTTCCTTGGGTTTCCTATCTTTAATCTGTTGACGAATTCGAAAGACGTAGCAATCCTTTAGAAATTTTTTTTGAAACAACTGATTTCGACCCCAATGCCAGTTGCGTCACTCGAGTCCAAGGCAACTCAAGATTACAAATACATCTCTTTTTTCGCACTACTCGAAAGCCGTAATGTGCCTCTCGTGGAATTTCCGTTTCAAATCTAATCAGTGACCTCTGAAGATCGCCGACTTAACCATAACAACTTGAGAATGCGTCAATGTTGACAGCATGAATTTTTTTCTTACAATGGCCAAGAAAAAGCTGATGTAAAAATCCTCTGTGACTCACGAAATTGTCATCACAGGAAAGAAAGCCCACTTTCTAGGGAGTCATTCGGTTTTCGAAATTACTGCGCAATTGGTGCGAACGAGGCATTCACGTGATTCGAGTATGTTCTTAGTCATGCTGGTCAAAGCTAATTAATGAGAAATAAAGTGAACCGACTCCAAGCACTCGATGAAATGTTCAAATGTATTTCTTTTATTACATTGGTTCTCAAATCTCGATCTCGTCCATTAGATGTGAAGGCATCGAGAAACAATAAATGTGTACCATAACTACTCTCACAAGTAAATTTTATGACAGCACAGAAAATTATATCGATATGTGTTACTTCTGACCCGCTTACGTAATAAAGACAGCTCCTCTCGTGAGGGAACGCACAAACAGCGTATGAAGGAGGAATCGCTTTAAGGCGCTGAAAGAGCACGTTTATATATTGAGTTACCGTAGATTTGTCCACATAGGTAAACGCGTACAAATCCTTACAAGAAATACATAATTCACTTTCAATTTGACAATCACCTTGAAATTTTATTTTCATTTGACCGTGTTCAACCTTCCAGAAGTTGACAGCTTTATTTACCGCTAGAATCATTTCTAAAAAAAAACAGACAATTCAAAGTAGCGGGCTTGAGTTGTCTCGTTGTGTTACTACATATATAACATTCAGAGATTATTAAAACTGGTTCCACTTGATTCTTATCAAAGGAAACGTGAGGAAGAAACTGTAACCTTCGTACTTTCGAACGAGTCATCTTTCTAATGACCTCCGGTCATCCAAGTTTGTCCTATTAACAGGTTATTACATAAGAGTCCTCGGACTTTGCCATATCATGGCAATACTTATTTTACTCTTCCCCATACAAGTTTAACATTGTTATTAACATAACGAAGAAATATTAAGTTATAAGCAACTTATAATACCTAGTATCATAATTAACACAGCATTGTGGTATTTCATGACTGAAGTTAATCGAGCGACTTGTGTTAAGAACAACCTGTTGCGCTAACACGAGTTATCACAAGTCTTCACCGTGTCAGTTTGCAAGGCAGAATGCAAACATTTGTAACCATCGTCCCTAGGCGAACGATGGGGTTGAATCCTTCTTGGTTTTCAAAGGGTCTATGATCGTGAGGAATAAATATTTGCCTCTAAGTGTTTTAAAACTCCCCTTTCTTGCCATCTAGTAACTTTCGACTGTAGACGTGACCCAGAGAACATGCGTGGAGCTATTTTGAGCATTTTTCTGGAAAGCTGAGACAAACGCGTTACGGGCGCGTGCAACTGGGATCGGGTTACACGAGAAAGGAGGAGCGCTAAAACTTCACATAAAAAAGAGAGAAAAAATGACCAACTAGATAAATGATTGATAACACAACCCTTCCTAGCTAGCACCCCTCTGTCGAAATGAAAATCGAAGAAACAAAGGTTTTGACTATCACACCTTTTTACGAATAAATAGTGAAAACGCACGTCACCTACGCTAGCACTTCGTCTAAGGGTGGTCGGTTGTCTTTTCAAACAACCTTCTCGTGGATGAAGACCTTAAGTTACATAATCTTACATTTCTTCTGTGTGTCCATTCTTCGCATTCGAAGCTTAGAGCAAGGATTTTGAGAAGCAAAGAAGTTTGCGGTGACATAACTCCTTCTCGTAAGACGTTAGTATTTTTGTCTTTGAACAGTTTTGAAGATTTCTGATCAAAGACATCGCAACACCTTCTAAA